AAAATATTCAAAAGTAAACAGGAAGAAAGAAAGAGTGCTACTGAACGAAATACGTTGACGCTCCACTATAAAAAATGGGAACATCTCAAGGTAAACATGGACAATATGCAAGAAAATGCAAGGGATGAGGAAAGGGGGGGGGGCCTGCCCGGTTCACAGCTGTGTGTGATTGACCGGTCTCGACTGCCATAGACTGCCCACGTCTTCTTGTTTCGTTTTTTTTTTTTTTTTTTTTTTTTTTTTTTTTTTTTTTTTTGTTGGTTTTGTTTTTAACGGGGGTAGGGGATATAACAAACTTTATTCATTCGATATAAGTAAGTTGATTGTAGTCTGTACTTTGTTCCAATATGTTATAAATTATAATATGTAATAGAGATACTAGTACTACAGAACAAAATATAGAGGGGGGGGTTATAACAATATTAATTCATTCAAAATAATTTAGATTACTGTATTTTGTACTCTGTAATTGGTTCCAATATGTTATATATTATAATTTGTATGAATTAATATTATTTATTGAGTGAATACAATAAAGAATATTACAAAACAAAAATACTGCAAGATGCTTGTGTGCGTAAATGACTTGCAGTGACAGGTGCGGTGCGTGGTGCCGGTGTGTGTACATACAGGAATGCTGCATGCACGAGCTTGTGCTTTGATTTTGATTAAAAGTTTGAATGAAGGTGTTTTACCCAGGGGTTTTACCACAGAATATTCATAAAACATTAATTTGAATGTAAATAACTATGCATCATGAGCCACTCGTGTTTTCTTAAGAACCCCTTTAAAAATTGTGTTGCTCTTTACTCGCAACCCTGAATCGCAGTTGATTCCACAGGGATAACGAATCACCACGCGAAAACTAGCCTGTCCACATTTCTGTTTGGACTCGGAGGAAAATTCTGTCATCTTTAGTTTTAAAAACAACATTGTTACTGGGTCTAACCTAGTTCACAATTACTTCAACTGTGGCTCGTAATAAAATGAAAGTATGTTAACAAAAAGACCAATGTTGGCTTTTTTTTGGAGGCTTTTTAATTGTTAATCAGATCAGATCGCGTCTTATTTCAGTGTTCGAAAAATACTTTCACTTTTCATTATGAGGCACAGTTGAGGTGCTTGTGAACTAAGTTAGACCTAGGTCTAGTTACAATGTTACGGAGCCCCGGAAGTGACATGGAGAAATTTTTTTTTTCTCGTTTTCCTGAGATAAATTCTCGTTTTCCTGAGATAATTTTTCGTTTTCCTGAGATAAATTCTCGTTTTCCTGAGATAATTTTTCGTTTTCCTGAGATAATTCCCGTTGTCCTGAGATAAATTCTCGTTTTCCTGAGATAATATTTCGTTTTCCTGAGATAATTCCCGTTTTCCTGAGATAAATTCTCGTTTTCCTGAGATAAATTCTCGTTTTCCTGAGATAATTTTTCGTTTTCCTGAGATAATTTTTCGTTTTCCTGAGATAAATTCTCGTTTTCCTGAGATAATTTTTCGTTTTCCTGAGATAATTCCCGTTTTCCTGAGATAAATTCTCGTTTTCCTGAGATAATTTTTCGTTTTCCTGAGATAATTTTTCGTTTTCCTGAGATAAATTTTCGTTTTCCTGAGATAAATTCTCGTTTTCCTGAGATAATATTTCGTTTTCCTGAGATAATTCCCGTTTTCCTGAGATAAATTCTCGTTTTCCTGAGATAATTTTTCGTTTTCCTGAGATAATTTTTCGTTTTCCTGAGATAAATTCTCGTTTTCCTGAGATAATTTTTCGTTTTCCTGAGATAAATTCTCGTTTTCCTGAGATAAATTCTCGTTTTCCTGAGATAATTTTTCGTTTTCCTGAGATAAATTCTCGTTTTCCTGAGATAATTTTTCGTTTTCCTGAGATAATTCCCGTTTTCCTGAGATAAATTCTCGTTTTCTTGAGATAATTTTTCGTTTTCCTGAGATAATTTTTCGTTTTCCTGAGATAAATTCTCGTTTTCCTGAGATAAATTCTCGTTTTCCTGAGACAATTTTTCGTTTTCCTGAGATAATTCCCGTTTTCCTGAGATAAATTCTCGTTTTCCTGAGATAAATTTTCGTTTTCCTGAGATAAATTCTCGTTTTCCTGAGATAAATTCTCGTTTTCCTGAGATAATATTTCGTTTTCCTGAGATAATTCCCGTTTTCCTGAGATAAATTCTCGTTTTCCTGAGATAATTTTTCGTTTTCCTGAGATAATTTTTCGTTTTCCTGAGATAAATTCTCGTTTTTCTGAGATAATTTTTCGTTTTCCTGAGATAAATTCTCGTTTTCCTGAGATAAATTCTCGTTTTCCTGAGATAATTTTTCGTTTTCCTGAGATAAATTCTCGTTTTCCTGAGATAATTTTTCGTTTTCCTGAGATAATTCCCGTTTTCCTGAGATAAATTCTCGTTTTCTTGAGATAATTTTTCGTTTTCCTGAGATAATTTTTCGTTTTCCTGAGATAATTCCCGTTTTCCTGAGATAAATTCTCGTTTTCTTGAGATAAATTTTCGTTTTCCTGAGATAATTTTTCGTTTTCCTGAGATAAATTCTCGTTTTCCTGAGATAAATTCTCGTTTTCCTGAGACAATTTTTCGTTTTCCTGAGATAATTCCCGTTTTCCTGAGATAAATTCTCGTTTTCCTGAGATAATTTTTCGTTTTCCTGAGATAATTTTTCGTTTTCCTGAGATAAATTCTCGTTTTCCTGAGATAATTTTTCGTTTTCCTGAGATAAATTTTCGTTTTCCTGAGATAATTCCCGTTTTCCTGAGATAAATTCTCGTTTTCCTGAGATAATTTCCGTTGTAAAATGAACAGTTAAAATGAATTGAAAAAATACAATTTTCTTCTAATTTTATAACGTTTTGGCATCTGAATGCCCCCCCCCCCCCTGAGTACGATGTCATATATATTTACTGTAAATTGCGAGCGAGCGAAGAGCGCAATTAACAAATAAAAGACACTAGTCTTACTCGTACAAATTTAGGTACAATACCAATTTGGATGATAAATCTATCTTGATTCAATAATAATAATAATAATAATAGCTAGTTCTTATATAGCGCTTTTCAGGACCGGAGGCCCTCTCAAAGCGCTTTACAGATGTATATATTATTACCCCGGTCATAGGATTCAGGCTTACCCGCACACAATGTATGCACATTCTCCACTCCCTGGGGAGCATTCCAGCCAGGCGTCTTTTTACAAGCGCACACTTGCTAATCTAACCACATTAGCTTTCGCATCCTACCGGGTACCCATTTAACACCTGGGTGGAGAGTGGCAAATGTAGATCAATGTCTTGCCAAAGGACATTAGTGCCGCGGTGGGACTTGAACCGCGAACCTTGTGATCCACAGTCCGGTGACATATCCACTCGTCCAAGAACACTTTATTAACAGACTGTCCGATTACAATAGGGGACAGCCCACGAGGCCGACGGCCGTCAGCCTAGGGCCTAAATCCAGTTTTAGGGGGGTATTCAGTTATTCACATCACCTTGTAGGTCTCAACATTCAATTGTCGAAATTCGATATATTTATGAAGATAATTATCAATTCCAAAAGGGCCTTAAAGGGGAAGGCCACCCTAAGAATATCTATATTTTAATAAAAGGAGACAAATAAGACAAAGTGATTAATAAAAGTTTGAGGAAAATCGGATATGAAATAAGAAAGCTATGAAATGTTCAAGTTTTAAACAAATTATAAAAGATCAAGAAAATCGGGAAATCTATGAGGTTATATGCGACCACCTATACAATAGAATACAAAAGAATATAGGAATTGATGAAGGAATCGAGCTGTCAAACACAGAGATTATTTGCAATTATTACGATCAAGAGTGCATCAAAATAAAATATTCTGTTTAGTTTAAATGTCATATTTTTTTTTAATTGTTGCCAAATATTGTTCCGCTCCGTTAAATGTATTCCTGAAACAATAAAATTAGCTTTATGTCTACATAATATTCACATACTGATGCACAATTGTGATTATTCCGTGTGTTACTTTCTTGTTTTAAGCAAACTTTTCGAATATACATGAATTAATGAATTTTGTATCTTACACCAAGAACCCACAGAAATGTTCGAAAGAGTACATTTATGTGAAGGAAAAAAAAGAATATCACATGTGCAATAATAGAATGGTCTAAGCACTTGGTTGGGTTACGAAGGTCATGGGTTTTATTAATTTATTTCTGATATTTAGACGGGGGGACTCATTATGACCAATAATGGTGGTCTTCCATGAGGCCCTGTTAAACATAATGAGGAACAATAGCTTAAACAAAAATATATGTTTTTATATATATATATATATATATATATATATGTATATATATATGTAATAATAATAATAATTATAATAACAAAATCATGAACATAAATGCATAACAGCAATAAAGAATAAATAAGAACATGTATAAACATATATACAAGTATTTGGTATCCTCCCGGTATCCTCGTAATGAACGAATGGTGTGTTTTGTTTAGATTTCCTTTTTCGTTCAAGAAATCTTTGTTGTATATTTACAATATCTTAATGTAACATTATAGTATAGACGGTGATTAGTTTTTTTTAAATCCGATGAAAACTAAGTATTATCATATTTCAGCGTGTATTAGACTTTGAAAAAAAGCAACATATACTTTTGAGAGTTCATAAACAAAGTATAGAAACTACTTAGGCTCAGTTAAGAAAGACTTCGTTGGTTCTGGTAAAAACATAAGCATGAATCCGATGACCGGGGTAATAATATATATCTGTAAAGCGCATTGAGAGGGCCTGCGGTCCTGAAATGCGCCATATAAGGACGAACTCTTATTATTATTATTATTATTATTATCATAATTTAGTAAGCAAGCTTCCATTTACTCCTGTGGACTTTCTCAAGCCGAATGGTTCTTCACCCCTTTGGGATCACAGGAGCGAAGGTAGGTGATATTGACTAGCCAGAGTGTATATTCAGTGAAGGATTAATCCTTTTGATCCAGATGGATCATACGTGGCTGTAATCGGCGCTATTTACATCCAGAATAATTATTATAACTGCTGTTATCCTTTGAAATTATTACGACACTTTTTTTTTGTATTAGGCCTGGTACCTGTACTTTTAACCATTAATTGGTTATAAAAAGACATTAACATTATTTATAAAGATATAGAGTGAAGAAAAAAAAATGAAATTAGCATTTGAAACCATGTATCTAGAGTGAATTTTAAATTCTCAATGCCATATATACAGTTCAGATAACAATTATTATAAAAACCGGTAGCCTTCTGTGCTTGCTTTGTGAGAATCCGTCTTCTCGTGACGGTTTCATTTACTTGTATCAAATGCAACTTCATACTCTGGTGGTTTCATCCTGTACACCAGACGCCTTGACGTCGGTCTATGAGAGATCGTCTCCCATATAAACAGATTCCTCGGCAGCGGCTGGAACATCTTCTGGCGCATCCGACCCCAGTTCGAGAGAGGGAATACACACATCATCTTTCACCGCAGAGGGCGCGAGGTATTCTGATTCCATAGACATGTACAGGTGCTTCCTCTCTTCATCGATATCATCAAGGCCTCCATCTTCTGGTTTGGGGCTTTGGTAGATGAACATTGTCTCGGCTGGTTTCACATCTCTTTTCATTGAAACCCTGGGCAATGTCAACGGCCTGTTTGGTGGGTTCGGAGGAACCTGGATACCCTCGCCTTGTGCCAGGTCCTTCGTTGGTCCAGTGGTCTTCGACACTGCAAATGGTACAGGATTCTCCTCGGCTCTGTCCTTGGTCTTCTTTCGTCGATAGTAGACCAGTGATGCCACACCGATAATGATCAGTAGCATGATGCTGGATCCGACCACTGCACCCACGATCATCTTAACTGACATACCACCTGGCAAAGTTGACCAGAGGGAAATGAGCGGATAACATGAGTTTGATATCAATAATGGAAATGGGTGAATTAAGTCCTTAAACCTTAAACCTTAAACCTTAAATTGTACTAAGTAATACATTGGTCAATTATGGACCGACCTCGACGTTAAAACAAAAATCTAGTGAAATCCCATTAAACTTGAAGTGTATGATGTAAGTTTATATTTTTGGCTATATAAAATACATAGTTTCAACACTGAGCCCCGATAGGCCTCAAAAGTATAATAAACAATTTGGTTTTCAGCAAATATAAATGAACTTAGTACATAGGATGGTAAAATATTAGAAAACAAAATCAATCATCGCAATTGTTTTCATTTATTTATAGGTTTTTATTAATTCAAGTGTCATAGATTGAAATTATAATACTGTGACTTGGTCAAAGATGACTTTGATTATGTTTTGAGGACGATCTACTTGATCCTTGAAAATATTGAAAATATTTACAAATATTACAAATTTACAGACATACATATTTCTAAAAATACAAGTTAAAAAGGATTTCTTCTTGTCAACATTCCATTTTCTTTTTTCTGTTCTAACGTATTTGTTTTATTGTTGTTATCCCTTTTCATTTTTTTTAAAAAATACAACTTCTTATCTATATTTGGATTGAAATGCACAAATAACTCGTCTATCCTTGAAATGTTCCTCAATTCTATTTTATTAAGAAATATATTATAATAGCATTTACAGTTAATTTCTCACTTTATGTGATACTGTAATATGCCTTTTCATGCTATTGGTTCTTAATTGGAAATGATAAATAAATAAATAGATTAAAAAACGAATTAATGAAAAATATTAGCTGTATGCAACACGTAAGAACTACTAGGCGGTATAGTTTACCTTTATCATCACAAACGACACTGGCGTCCTCAATATGAGCGCAGTTGTGCTCACCAATACCCCTATGTTTACAGTCCGTAAGACGAGACTCTGTTCCTGCGCACTGAACTTCGTCCAAGAAGATGTCTCCGGCTCCTTTGCCAAAGTAAGCTGATCCTGGAGCCTTCAAGGCACCTTGAAACCCAAGCATTCTGCACACGACCGTTGCGTCTAGGATGTCCCATTGGTCGTGGCAGATAGTTCCCCATACACCCATGTGCTGTATTTCGACCCGACCTTCAGCGTCACTGGATCCTCCTACAAGACGAACTGCTCGGATCAGATGGGAGGAAATAGAAAAGAATATTTAATAAAAATGGCTCCTATTCCTTTGCCAAAGTAAGCTGATCCTAGAGCCTTCAAGGCACCTTGAAACCCAAGCATTCTGCACGCGACCGTAGCGTCTAGGATGTCCCATTGGTCGTGGCAGATAGTTCCCCATACACCCATGTGCTGTATTTCAACCCGACCTTCAGCGTCACTGGATCATCCTACAAGACGAACTGCTCGGATCAGATGGGAAGAAATAGAAAATAATATTTAATAAAAAATGGCTCCTATTCCTTTGCCAAAGTAAGCTGATCTTGGAGCCTTCAAAGCACCTTGAAACCCAAGCATTCTGCACACGACTGTAGCGTCCAGGATGTCCCATTGGTCGTGGAAATAGTTCCCCATACACCCATGTGCTGTACTTCGACCCGACCTTCAGCGTCACTGGATCCTCCTACAAGCCGAACTGCTCCGATCAGATGTGAGGAAATAGAAAATAATATTTAATGAAAATGGCTCCTATTCCTTTGCCAAAGTAAGCTGATCCTAGAGCCTTCAAGGCACCTTGAAACCCAGGCATTCTGCACGCGACCGTAGCGTCTAGGATGTCCCATTGGTCGTGGCAAATAGTTCCCCATACACCCATGTGCTGTACTTCGACCCGACCTTCAGCGTCACTGGATCCTCCTACAAGCCGAACTGCTCCGATCAGATGTGAGGAAATAGAAAATAATATTTAATGAAAATGGCTCCTTATTTCTTTGCCAAAGTAAGCTGATCCTAGAGCCTTCAAGGCCGCACCTTGAAACCCAAGCATTCTGCACGCGACCGTAGCGTCTAGGATGTCCCATTGGTCGTGGCAAATAGTTCCCCATACACCCATGTGCTGTATTTCGACCCGACCTTCAGCGTCACTGGATCCTCCTACAAGACGAACTGCTCGGATCAGATGTGAGGAAATAGAAAATAATATTTAATGAAAATGGCTCCTATTCCTTTGCCAAAGTAAGCTGCTCGGATCAGATGGGAGGAAATAGAAATGAATATTTGATGCAAGAGGAATTAACTCATCTCTGATAAATATTCCATGATTGCTATAAGGGGCTAACAATTCAAACGATGTATGGAGTTGGGATTATATTGCAGGCACTGAAGTATATGATAACAGAACAATTATAGGCCTACATGATATTTGCTTACGATTGAATGGTCATCAACTTAGTTAATCACAACACCAACGCAAAATTCTTCAAGAAATCAAGGACAATATCAGTATCATAATATACTGCCTTTAGTCAGAAATCCTGTTCGCATTTAGTAATATGTCATTGTCCAGGGGGGTGTTTCACAAAGATCTTAAGTAGAACTTAACACTAACTTGGACTTAAAAATTATGGACAGCCATTGGAGCCTTAAAATGAAATATATTCAAAAGCAGAAATTCAAGTATTTTAGACTTTTTATAAATTCCACATCCAGAATATTAATCTCCTTGATGATAGAAGATATGAATGATTTGAATCAACATTTTATGCCATTCCAAATAACTTTTATAAAATGTTTTCAAAGATGGTAACGGCTTTCCATAATTTGTAAGTCCAACTTGGAGATAAGTTCAACTTAGAATCTTTGTGAAACACCCCCCTGGTGTAGGTAGTCTTTACGATTATGTTCTTACTAAAAAAAAGAGGGGAAAATGGCTGAGGTGTTCCTGATCCAAACAAGCTCCATGTCATTCTTGTGAATGACCTGACCGTCTAGATTCAAATCAGGTATTTGTCAGTCCAAGTAAGGCTGAGTACACCTAAGGATTTTTTTTTAACGTAACTACCTCTGGCAAGTGAAACCTTCTATTACAATACAAATCAAATTGAAGGGCAGTTTATTTAAGCGAGTAATTATGTAATGCCATTTTCACACGAGGCATCATTTCTCTGACGTAGGATTACGTCAGCGACTGGCAAGAGTTTTGACGCACCAAATGAAGGCGACAACGTACAAACATGATTGCAAAATGAACAGAACAAGCATGGAGTTGAATTTACTGTTGTATGTGCTACTTTCATTCATATGCCTGATTAGCTGTTATCCTGCCACAGGGCTAATCCCCAATGTGCCAAGCCACAACCCCCCCCCCCCCCAGTGCCCAGTTTATTTTGAGATAATCGGATTAACGCGGTGGTACTATCAATAGCGCGTGCGAAACACCAGGCACAGTACAATGGGCATGAACAATAACTGCTTGCAAACATGCAAGAAGCAGCGAAGCGGTAGCTTGCTCGTGTGTACAAAGCACTATAACGGTAGCGTGAAAGCAACCTTATGGCAGGATATGAGTTAACAACAATAACGAAAAATTACACCTCGTACCGTTGGAATAGCAGATGACACCGGCATCTTTCTCATGGTCGCACACATTGCTCCCGAATCCTGCATGCAAACACTCTGCAAGGTGGTCCTCTCTTCCCCTGCAACGGACACCTTCCAGAATGCTGTCACCGGAACCCTTACCGAATCTAGCAGAATGCGTTGCTTCCATAGCACCGTCGAAGTCTAGCATTCGACATAGGACCGTCGCATCTCTGATATCCCAATCGCTATCACAGATGGTCCCCCAGGACCCGTCGTAAAGGACTTCCACTCTACCTTCGGCATCGTCGACGCTGCCTATGAGTCGAACCTGGAACGGATCTAGGGTGGCAAAAATTAGATACATCTTCTATTAACAAACTAAAAATCCAACAACAATTTTGGTATGGATCCTTTGAAGAACTAATTCTAAGACTAACTCATCCGCCCTCCCGATAGTAATCCCACTATGACACCGTCCTTGTCCTGGTAGACAAGTATAGCTTCGAAAATTTGTTAAGACTGCACTAAAACTATTAACAAAATCTAACAAACTGAGTATCAGCTAGATACTCAATTATTGTTCGGGTTAATTTTACTTAGCTAATTATCCTGAGGTAAATTTGTACAGGAATGATTATCAGTTATTAGGTTTAGGCTTTTGGTCAGGATGTGATTCAATTTAATAGCGCCAGGAATCGTATTACGTGGGTAGTTGGAACATCGTACCTGTCCCCGAGAAGCATCTAACCCCTGCGTCGTTGGCATGTTCACAGTTATGGACGCCAACCCCTCGATGGTAGCAGTCTGCTATCTTATCCTCTGTTCCGTCGCAACCGAGACTATCAAGGAGAATCCCGCCAGAACCCTGGCCGTACGCCGCAGCACGAGGTGCGGCCAATGCACCGTCAAAGCCCAACATTCGGCAAACGACTTTGGCTTCTTTGAAGTCCCAGTTGTTGTCGCAGACTGTTTCCCAAGACCCGTCGTAGAAGATCTCTACCCTTCCTTCTGAAACGGCTGGCCCTCCGATGAGACGCACTTTGAAGGGGTCTGTTGGAATAGAATAGTTCAGCTTTCATCAAAGGTGATCTTAGAAACCGTACTTAAGAAATAGAGAGCGGGTAACAGGTGGGTGCTACAGGATTGCGATAACAGGGCTACAACCAAATTCCTTTTTAGACACAAAGAATATTGAGGACTTTACATGAGGTTAAATTTCCACTGCATGATGCATTACACATTAATACCTGGAATCGTCTTGCCACGTATATTATATTCCAAATATCATGTTATAAAGAAAAATTAAAATTCAAAATCTGATTCTAACAGGATGTCCTTACCTCCAGAGAAGCAACTGACACCTGCGTCTTCACCGTGGTCGCAATCATGTACACCAACGCCATTGTGAGAACACTCCGCCAGATTGTCTTCTGATCCATCACAAGTGACTCCATCAAGCAGAACATTGCCGGATCCTCGACCGAAGGAAGCGTTACCCGGCGCGGCCAAAGCACCTTCAAACCCAAGCATTCTGCAAACGACCGTTGCGTCTTTGAGGCCCCAGGCATCATCGCAGATGGTTCCCCAAGATCCGTCGTACATCACCTCCACCCGGCCCTCGGTCACGGAGGTTCCTCCGACAAGGCGAACGCGGAAAGGAGCTATAGATCGAATGGAAGTGTGCCCATGAATTATTTTGATGCGATCTTAAAAACTGTCAGTAGTTCAGGGTACTGTTCATAATTATGCTTTCATTTGGCTATAGTGTCAATTTTGTATGCGTTTGTTAGAAAATTACATTTTCCCAAATTTCCAGTCAGGCAAAAAAAAACATGCCTTTTAAGAAGCCTTCATGTCAGTGCTTGCAGAACGGCGGGGTTTGGGGCTCGAGCCCTCCTCACTTTTTTGAAAAGTATGTTAAAGAGAAAAAGAGAGAACTTAGAGAAAGAAAGAAGGTATCAAAATTCACTCATCTGACCGTAATCAAATACCTAAAACCCCTGAGCTAATAGGGGCTCCACCCCCTGGACCCCACCAAGGGCCCTAAGGAGGGCCCCTGAATGCTCATCTGACCTTAATTAAATATATTAAACCCCTGAGCTTCCAGGGGCTCCGCCCCGGGACCCCTGCCAATTAGTGACCTGTCAGTGTCACAAATAAGGTATCAAAATATGCTCATCTGACCTAGATTAATTGCCGAAAGAGCCCTCGGAGCTTCCAGGATCCCCGCCCCTGGATCCCACGCCAATTTATGCTCCACTTGCTACGCTCACTAATCTGATCGTTAATACTCCACTTTGAAAACGTTCCGCGGGGCCTGCATGTAACATGCCCTCCCCAAACGTTTTTGCTCAGTATACGCCACTGCCCCTGAAAGGTGAGCCCCGCTGGAATGTTTACCCCCCCCCCCCCCCTACCGAAACTGCTTCCGGCGCGCCTGCAATAGACCATACCTTCTGAGTAGCAAATGGCACCAGCATTCTCGGCTTGTGTACACCCTTTTGCACCCATCACTTTTGGGCAATCTAGAAGATGATCTTCTGTACCGACACAGTCAACACTATCCCAAGAGTAATTTCCAGAGCCCTGTCCGAAGGTAGCATTGCCCGGTGCTGACAGAGCGCCATCATACTCCAGCATTCTGCAGAAGACCCGAGCATTGTTTAGACTCCATCCGTCATCGCAAACAATTAGCCGTTTCCCTTTGAAAATGATCTCGACTCTACCCTCTGAAGCGATGGATCCATCAACGAGGAAAACCTGGAAAGTATCTGAAATTGAACAAAAGAGAATGCTTTCAAAAGATAGTTGTAAAAACATGGTGTACATTAATCATGTTAATACAACTAAGACAGGCTCCCCGTAAACTAATTCATGCTAGTATAACTTCAGAAAAAAGTAAAATCATCGGGGAAATGCAAATTAGTGTGCAGGGTAATACATTCAAACGTTTATTTTGAAGACCCCTTTTAATAAAACAGTCTTCCCCTAATTCATTTGCTTACCACGAAACACTAGTCAATGAAATTGTTATCAATTTTTCAAATGCTATTCGATGTTATAATTTCGTCGTCTTATTCACAATGCTAAATATTATACTGCAAAACAAGGAATAGATTTGCAAATACCCGTTTTTTTTCAAATTAAAAGCTGCAAGAATAATATCCAAAGTATTGTTCTAATGCTTCCTTTGCTCACGAATACAAGTTATTTCTAATCACGTTAATATATTGTGTAAATAATATATAACGAAATTGATCTCAAATTCGTTTACAAAATATAAGAATAGTTGGCTAAGCGCCGAATAAAGTAATTCTCTTGCTACAAACACAAGGATCGTTATTGGTGGGATATTCACGACCACCACCCCCTCCCCTCCCTCCCGAAGCCTTGGTCCAGAGGTGAATTGCCGTTTAGTCTATCACCACTGCAGTTCGTCTACTACCCAATTAGTCTTTTCTCATATGTTCTACACCCAGCCCATCTACGCCTCCTCGTGGTCTAATAATCATTTCGTCTACTTATCATTTGGTCTAGTTGCCATTTAGGCTAATAGTCATTTTGGTCTAATTTCCATATGGTCTGAAATCCAATTAGTCTAATACCCATCTGGTTTATTTGTCATTAAGTCTAATGGCCAATTAGTCTAATTCCCAGTATGCCTAATGCTTATTTCGTCTACCATCCTTAAGGTCTAATAATCATTTGATGATTATTTTTTATTGATGATTAAAGGATCATTAGACCATATGAATTATCGAAAATATGGTCATTAGGCAAACTGGGAATTGGACCGTCTGAAAATTAGTCTAGACTAAATGAGCAATAGACCAAGTGGTTACTAGACTTATTAGAGATAATACCAAATAGAAATTAGACCGAATGACTATTATCCTAAATGGTCATTAGACCAAATGATAGGTAGACGAACTGGTTGTAGACCAAATGACAATAACCCGGTCCAGATACGCCACTGAGCAAATGCGAGCAATTTAATAAATAGGAGCAGTAACAACGAGTCTAGTTGATGAAATACACTTAAAATCAAAACACATTTATGGTTGAGGAAATAAATTGTGCTGCGAATAGAACTGATATCGAAAGTAATGTAAGTTATTCATCTTGATTACGACCAGTGCAAATGTAAAACGAAAAGAAAGATCTTCCATCACTAAATGACAACCAGAAAGTAATGTAAGTTATTCATCTTGATTACGACCAGTGCAAATGTAAAACGAAAAGAAAGATCTTCCATCACTAAATGACAACCATTATCTTTTATTTACATACTTTGCGCCATATCATGGTAGCTAATTTAGGTCGAATTACTGTGATTAATTTAAGATTGGCAGCTCCATATCGTGTATCACCGGAAATGTTGCCTTGCGAAACCGCAGCATCTTAGCCCATAGGTATCATTGCAAAGTACAGCGGTTCAGGCTTCGAGTTCTTATATATTCTCTTTTCTTAAAAAAAAAAAAAAACTACAGATGGAATATGAAATATATACCTATCTGTCCGTCTATCTATCTGTTTATCTGTCTGTCTTTCTGTATGTCTTTACGTGTGTTCATCTATTTATAATTCTAGTGGGGTTTGGGACACATGACTAGCTTCATCCCTCTATCGAAAGGCGAATAAAATTATGTTCACACAGCATTTCAAAAAGCATTTAAAGAGGCACAAAAGAACTGCTGAGTATTTTTATTTTTCACCTACACTTCTTCCTTTATTTTTTTATCTCTACCCGACGCCCAAGCTCCCGTCCCTCTTCTCTTTAACTCTCTCTCTCTCTCTCTCTCTTCTCTCTCTCTCTCTCTCTCTCACACACACGCACACACGCACGCACGCACACACACATAGGCACCTCTCCCATCTCCATCACACACTTTTTTGTTTTTTGTAATTTTGTTTTTTGCTCCAAATGTAATACGCTTTCAATATTTATTGTTTATACATTATAACTGAGCAACAAATAAACTTAAAGTACATAAACATATTTATAAGTCAGTTTTACATGTTATTCACTTATATAAAGAAAAAACTTTAACAAATCTGGCGGTTATTTTACCTGGTACAAAGTCCTGCCCCCCCCCCCGATCCCTCACACAAACACACCCACCCCCCCCCCCACACACACACACACACACTACTCACTCAGTGGATGTCTGCTAACATTCTCAACTCAAGAAATGTAATATATAAGTAAGTTAACCAGGCTGCAAAATAGAGTTAAACTTTAACAAGCCCACGGTGGAGAGGAAAACAAATCTTGATTAACACTAAGCTGCTCCCCCTTTAGAAAATTAAATCCCAGCTTTCCCATTTTAATGGTTATTTTCTGATCCTCATCTGTATAATTAAAAATGGGTTTCTTCATCTTTTCTAAAGTTGTTACTTCCCCCCCCCCCCCTCCCAGGTCTTGACATAAAAATAACATACTTCACCATGAAAATTATAGTATTACAGATTTTTGTATTATATATGAACTACCTGCCAACCCAACAAATATATCTTGCCATTCTAAATCTTTAATTCCATCTAACTCAAAAGTTGTACAAAAGCCTGCCATATCCTTTGAACGCTCCCGCAAGATAAAAATAAATGTATGATTTGATTTGATTGATTTATTAATTTTTGTTTCATTTTCATTTTCCTTTGCAGTTTCACAAATATCAAACAAACAACATTTAACAAATCATTGCAAATTTTACACGTGACAAAAGCGTACATGTAGAATAAAGTAAGGCTGGCTGTAACTAATCGAAAACATCAAACAGGAGGGTTGACAAAGTAAGCAAAGCTTGATGGCATGACTACCCTCAATGGATACATAATAATACAAGTTTCGAGAAAAAACAATATTGGTAAAAAGGGAAAGAGAGAGAGAAAAAAAAATAGAGGGGTGTACATCAAGATTCACAGATGTATGTGGTAGTTGGATTTCAATTTGATACATGAAGATAAACAAGAAGATGTACATTTTAATTTTTGAATGTTTCTATTTCCTGTTTACAAAACGAACATAAACTGTCACCAACACACCAACCCACACCAACCCAACCAATAATCATCCCATTGTTTTAAAGAGAAGGTTGAGTTCTGGGAAGAGGTGAAAAATAATTTGTGAGCATTACTCATTCTTATTATGCAAGTGTGGAAGAACATCAGATAAGACATGTTCCCTGAAAAGTATGGCTCTTCAAATGCCTTCATATTCTAAATATGCATGTAACATCGTAAAAATCGGGGGGCCGGCTTTTTACGCCACGTAACTTTACCAAGACTTGGCCAAATTTCATATCATTTTGATGATTCCAGAACCTTGCAATACACACAAATGCTTATATGCTAGATGATCAACCTTTTCTGGTCGGTTCCACACCGTTTCTTTCACAATTCAATCGCATGACCAGAACTCAACTTCATCTTTAAGCAAATAAATTGCTTTATTCGCCGCTCAATAGATTGGAAGGGAAGGGCGATTGACTTTCTTTTATTCAATCTATTTTTATACAGTGCGTCCCAGAAAAAACGAATTCGAGAATGATGATGATCGATGTTTTATCATAACTCTATTAATCACAATTATAATTAATAAATGACACACATTTGTAAAGCTTATATCCTCCTCTTTCATTTGATGCAACTCATATAATGCATATTTCACGCATGAGTGATTAAAAGCAATTTGAAGGAAGGAAACCAAAAAGTCATTTGGCGGGCGGTATCTGAATTTCGAAGAAAAAAAATCACATTTCTAGGAAGTTCATTTTCTGCCCTATACAACCTCAACCAGGAAAAATGAGGCAGGAATAACAAAGTTCTGTTTGTTTAAAGTAATGCTTGCGTTTCCATAATTTGATTAAACGAAATCGTTTTCAATAGCTGCCTGCCGTAGAAATAAAGATATTTATCAAAAGTCTTCATGCATGGCTGATTGTCAACGAAACGGAGTAGTGAGAAAAAATGATGAAAGCTAATTGATAGACCCTACTGCATGGACCGGTCTACGCTATACAACGATCCAATATAGACCGCTGCGGCAGCGACTCCAGAGGTACTGTTCGTTTGCTTCCTAAACTCATCGCAATTTTTACTCGTGATGCTATAGCTACAGGAACCATTCCTGATGTTAATTAATTAATCTATGTTTGAGGAGATTAGTTAGAACAAAGAAATAAGAAGGGCGCTCATTTTACTTTGCTTTACAGGTAATGTGTCGTCAATTTCCACAGGTAATGTGTCGTCAATTTCCACCTTGTCTTATTTATAAAGTTTGGCTACCTTACCCCCACTTTAATTAATCTTGTTGCGGGATAAGTCGCACTGCGACCGCTCAGGAAGACGATGAAAAATCGCGCTCAATTTACATGATCTTTGCTGTTTTTAGCAACAATTTCAAATGATGATTATTTAGCTTTTTAAATGAAAAGTAATTATTGTTATCTCTTATTTGGGGTGGAATTTTGCTGAGGGGCTACTTGCTTTCTTGCCTCTTCAAAATACTCCAGTGCTTTTCCTCCAGAATGCATGTCTTTGTTTTATTAATGATTTTGTATAAAATCATTATAAAAAGCTATTGTGACATGGTCAGTGAATTATATTGACAAAACATTGTTCTTACCGTATTCGCTTCCCTCTGTATACACCTGGTTTAATATTGACACCAGAAATAGAAGAATTAAAGCTTGTAAATGAGCCATTGCTGAAGTGGATTTATATGTAGTGCTGATCTGTTGAAATGAAAATGATAAATAGATCTCTTATCAGGTTATCAAGAACGTTTGAGTGATAAGTGCATACTCGTCATCTGAGTGGCTGTTGACTGATGTAATGAATATTCATATCGCCCGTATAACATCATTCGTGTATCCTAGCTCCACCCAAACCAAATCATTTGTTTTATCATGATTAACTTAATGCAATCGAAACTTGAATATAGGCCTTTATAAGATAATGAAGCGGATCCTAATTAATGATTAGTTGATCGACGGGAGCGTACACGTGACCAGGCATTTATTTTGCCTAACACTTAATTTTACTAAATAAATGACCGGTCATTAGTAAAATCATGTTATAAAACATCATGTTAATGCCCTTACAACTGTATATTATTTGTATAATACCTCAGTCTATGCTTTTACGGGCAGGAGTCTGGAGATACCCCCACACCGCCCCCCCCCCCCACCCATGTCTAAACTGGACCAACTCGAATCTCGCTTCAGAGAAGATAAAATAAAGAGAAAGATAGAGAGAGGAGAGAGGGAGAGAGACGGATAGAGACAGATAGAACGAGAAAAAAAACAATAAAACAAATTATTTTAAAAATATGTTGGGATTTTTCGTTTATCCTCCTCACCTCCATCTCCACCCCCCCCCCCCCCCCAGGCCCCCACCCCTGCCAGCCCAGCTTTCCCCTCAAATCTTTCTGACTTTCCTGGATCCGCCTCTGTTAACAAGTTTGTAGAAACATCGTCACTTCACACCTACACAATATTTATTCTCTCTCATGTACTTTTATTTTGATCTACATCACAAGTGACCGTTTCTATTTGATGGCGTAGAGTATGTAAGGCATTAAGGGGTACTGGTATCTTCCATCCGCCCCCTTTTCTTTCTTTCTTTCTCTCTCTCTCTCTCTCTCTCTCTCTCTCTCTCTCTCTTGTATTGACGTGAAGTACACATGGGATTCGGAGTTATACGGACAAAGTGAATAGCGGGGGCCTGTGCACGACCCTTGTACCCCCCCCCCCCGCCCCAGTCATAGCACTTTTGTTTTCAACTCTTAGCAACCAAAACGAATATAGATGATTGAACAATCTTTATTCATTACTTTGACAGTATACGAAACAAAAAACCCTCAAATGAATTTCACTTTCTTTATCGAAGACAATGTTGGACGGATAGACAATACTTATTGAGATGAATTTGTATAATGGAATGATTGATAGATTGATATAAGATGATGTGCGCGTGTGCTTTTGCTTTACTATGCTTGATTTGTGTTACAAGTTTTCAAACTACCTTCACATGGAGGTGGATTTTTCACGCACAATGCTTTAGAAAATTAATGAATTTTAATATATGAAGCCGGTTTTTTTTAATTTGATTTGATTTGATTTGATTTGATTTATTTATTTCTGTTTGATTTTCTTTTTCTTTTGCATTTTTACAAATATATAACAAACAAATATTGCAAATTTACACATGACAAAAGAATATAAATAAGGTAAGGCTGGGTGTAACTAATCGAGAACATCAAACAGGAGGGTTGACAAAATAAGCAAAGCTTGATAGTATGACTACCCTCAAAGGATACATAATAATACAAATATGGAGGAACAAAATATTTCTTCCGTATTTTGCACAGGATTACCAAACCCCAACCATTAAATAGCAATTGGATCAATATTGCGATAACAAAAATCAAATCTTATATTATACGGGCAGTCTACATAAAAAAAGTGATAAATAATGTAGCTCATTATGTATATGTGATATATGGTTTTAATCCAAGAAAAGTTAACGGCTTATAGCAGAAGGGAATGTAACAGTGGGGGAATCAAATATCACTTGACTTGAAATGCAAAGGTCGTGGATTCGATCCCCTACACGGCATTAATGTCCTTTGGCAAGGCATTAATTTACATTCGCTACTCCGTACCCAGAGGTAATAATATTTGTAACGCGCTTAGAGACGGTATTCCTAATTGAGCGCTATATAATCCAGATTATTATTATTATTATTATTCGTCAGAATACAGAGAAAAATAAATCGGAATGCTGATGTTATTTGGTTTCTCTTTTCGTCACTATCATTCATAATCAATCATCATGATCATTATCATTTCCACCACAGCAATAATTGATTCATAATCGTTGTCGTCGTCGTTATCAGCAGCATCACCACCACCATCCCCATCAGCAGCAGCAGCACCATCATCAGCACCATCATCATCCTCATTATCATCATCATCAGCAGCAGCACGGTCTACAGGGTTCGTACGGGCCCGCCCCCCCCCCCCCCCCCCACTCAGAGGTCGGAATGACCGCATGCGTGTTGCCAAAATGTCCGGTAAAGGGGTATTTTTCGTGCGACAAAGTCCGGCCCGAGAATTGTAAAAAAAGGGGTGTATTTGACTTTCCACCCTGAGATTTCTTTAAAAAGGGGGTGCTTTTCTTTTTTTCTCTCATCTCTTTGAACTCCTGAGAAAATATTCCGAATTTAGGGGGGTACATTGAGCATTTTTCCTGATTTAGGGGGGTCTCCAAGGCAGGAAAAGCCTGTGAAAAGCCCGCGAAAGGGGGGTTTGGAAATGTTGGCAGTCCTCAGATAGGGGGTGCTTTCAAAAAGAGGGTACGAGCATATGCGTACCCTAAATAACACTGAGTGGGGGGGGGGGCCGGGCGTACGGGTCAGGGAATTTCTGGAAAGTCAGGGAATTTAAAAATGTTTTTTCCAGAAGCAAAAAGTCAGGGAAAGTCAGGGAATTCATCCATTTCTTCTGGAAAGTCAGGGAAAATCTTCTTTTTTTTCAAGATGTTTGTTAAAATGGCATTTAATTTGTCTTGTGAACAAAGGAAAAAACATTTTGTAAAATCTGTGGTTCAGGACCTTTTTCGTTATAAATTACACGCAATATCTTTAGGACCTACTAGTATCGTGTCTATTGAGTCTTTCATACTGTATGCAAGATGCTTGTGTGCGTAAATGACTTGCAGTGACAGGTGCGGTGTGTGGTGCCGGTGTGTGTACATACAGGAATGCTGCATGCACGAGCTTGTGCTTTGATTTTGATTAAAAGTTTGAATGAAGGTGTTTTACCCAGGGGTTTTACCACAGAATATTCATAAAACATTAATTTAAATGTAAATAACTATGCATCATGAGCTACTCGTATTTTCTTAAGAACCCCTTTAAAAATTGTGTTGCTCTTTACTCGCAACCCTGAATCGCAGTTGATTCCACAGGGATAACGAATCACCACGCGAAAACTAGCCTGTCCACATTTCTGTTTGGACTCGGAGGAAAATTCTGTCATCTTTAGTTTTAAAAACAACATTGTTACTGGGTCTAACTTAGTTCACAAGTACTTCAGCTGTGCCTCGTAATAAAATGAAAGTATGTTAACAAAAAGACCAATGTTGGCTTTTTTTTGGTAGCTTTTTGTTAACCAGATCAGATCGCGTCTTATTTCAGTGTTCGAAAAATACTTTCACTTTTCATTATGAGGCACAGTTGAGGTGCTTGTGAACTAAGTTAGACCTAGGTCTAGTTACAATGTTGTTTTTAAACTAAAGATGACAGATTATTTTTTTTCCAGATTTTTTTTTAGATTTTTTTTTTTTTTTTTTTTTTTTGGGGGGGGGGATCTTTGAAATAGGGGTGCGCCTTACAGTTTTGTGATTTGCTTCCTAGTATTGCGATGATGGTTAGTTGTACGCTTTAAATTAAGACATGTTCAACATTGAAAATGGTAATGGAAATTTACATTTTCCTGCTCTGCAAAGTCATGGAAAGTCATGGAATTTTTAAAATGTGTAAGTGTACGAATCATCATCATCAGCAGCAGCACCGTCATCATCACCATCATCATCATCAGCACCTTCATCATCACCATCATCAACATCACCATCATCATCACCATCATCATCACCATCATCACCATCATCATCATCATCATCAGCACCTTCATCATCACCATCATCAACATCACCATCACCATCACCATCATCATCACCATCATCACCATCACCATCACCATCATCATTATAACCACCACGATCATTATCATCATCATCACCATCACCATCACCATCATCATTATAACCACCACGATCATTATCATCATCATCACCATCACCATCATCATTATAACCACCACGATCATTATCATCATCATCACCATCACCATCACCATCATCATCACCATCATCACCATCACCATCACCATCATCATTATAACCACCACGATCATTATCATCATCATCACCATCACCATCACCATCATCATCACCATCATCACCATCATCATCACCATCATCATTATAACCACCACGATCATTATCATCATCATCACCATCACCATCACCATCATCATCACCATCATCACCATCATCATCACCATCATCATTATAACCACCACGATCATTATCATCATCATCACCATCACCATCACCATCATCATCACCATCATCACCATCATCATCACCATCATCATTATAACCACTATCATCATCATCAACACCTTAATCTTCAGCATTACTGCCACAGTAGTAAACCACACTTAACATTTTCATCAAATATTTCGGTCTTGAGACTTCCATGAATGTCATGGAAGCAAGAACATTTACTTGTATAAAATAAACAGTGTTTGAAGTCTCAATACAATAATGACAACAATTGCATCGACAAAGTCATATCTTCGTATACACATGTACATATTGAGTTGGGTAGCCGTGCATGCCATAAATAACAGAGAGAATTGCATGAGTAATTCTGGGGAACGACAAATCAGTGTCGTTACATCCCACATCTTGTCAGTACGTACGATACAAAAGTACTTTGGTAGAGTTTTTCCCTCTCTTCAGTTACACCGATATTTAAGCTACGGTCACAAAGGTTTGTTTGAAGTTATGGACAATGCATTTGTATGAATCTCCGTTTTTCCATTGTCTTCCCGAATTTCCATTGTCTGAAAATCGTTCATACGGCGTTCGTAGCAGTTCGTAATGGAATTTGTGAACGAGGCTTATCCCTGCAACCCTTCGGACAGGATGTCAAGCCATGGGTCTCTTTGGGTGGCTACACACACATACATTTATCATTGGAAAAATTTGTAAAAGCAGAAATACCTTTTAGCACTTGGTAGATAAATGATGTTGATTACAGGCGCGGATCCAGGATTTCTTAGGGGGTAGGCCCAAATTTGAAATCAATTTGAAGTAGTAGTATGCTGAAATTTGAGCATCGTGCCGGTAGATATTTCGCTATAAAGTGGGGGGTAGTGAGCACTAATTTATTTTTATTTTCTCTGACCCCGGAAATTTAAAAATCATGCCGGCCGATATTTCGCTCACTGGACTCACTCCTACTCGATAGCGGAAATAACAAGTGGTCTAGGCCTTTCTAGGAGGCCCAGGTCTACTTTGTATTTAGATTATACAATAATTGGACCTCTTTCCAATCTAGAGCGATAAATGGATGCAAAATAGATATCATATTGATTCACAGTGAGAATGGTGATACAGTCAAACTCGTATATTTTGGCATCCCAAGGGGAACACAAAAAGTGACATTTGTAGACAGGTGGTCTTTGTAGACAGTTGGTCACTAAAGCAGGTTTGACTGTACAATCATACAATAATTGGACCTCTTTCCAATCTAGAGCCATTACTACACATAAATGGATGCAAAATAGATTTCATATTGCTCGACAGTGAGAATAGTGATACAATAATATTGAAGGTATTATTATGGTGACACGACATTTGCTCCTGCGACAATTGCTCCGGGCTTTATTTCGTCTAAGATGTAGGGTTAGGGTTAGGGTTTCAATAGGGTTTTATGTTAGGTTTAGGGTAGGGTATAGTGTTGAATCCAGGGTTGAAGTTAGCCATTCGATTAGTGTATGAAATTTACAGCGGAGCAATTGTCGCCGGAGCAAATGTCATGGAATCATTACATGTACATCAATGTGATGGGCATGTACTGATACTTTAGCATAGACAATTTCACTTCAAATTCAATCATAATAGTTTCTTTGTCTTCTGGACTTTCATGTGTCACAAGTCCTCAAGCTGCTAGTGAAAGAGTTGTGAATTAAGCTTCCGATAGTTCTTGATATTGTCTCTCTTTTTAAAGGCATTGTTTAACAATGTTTAGAGTTTTACAAATCTGAGATGCATGGCCCTACCTGTTATCAGTGTCTGTGATATGGTGTACTATTGAAGCCCTAAAAAAAATTGTGCTTCAATATGATCATGAAGTGTTTCAAAAAAGTAAAAATCTTTGAGTGACCGGTTTTATCATTCCCATTTTCCCCAATAGACTGTAGTGTTATAAAAGCTGTTCAAAACTGTTGGATAAATGGTTTCTGAAATTTCGAATTTCAATCATAAATATCTTGATAATCAAACACGTGATTGGCTTGTAAAACTCATGGGATTCATTTCTGACCTAAAGGTTTATAATTATGATTGCAACATGAGCTAAATCCAGGATTTTGTTTAGAATCAGAGGCAAAGTAACCTAATGCTTTTAAAAAAGCAAAATGCTTTCCTAAATTGGTGGGACAGATGTCTCACTTGTGTATTGTATTGGATGAGGATTGCATGACAAGACCATGTCTAGGTCCTGTCTTATAAAGAGTTGCGATTGATCCTAATCAATTCCAAGTCCTCCAATCAGTCACAAGTTTGCAATTCTCTATCTCTTATGCACGTAGCTTCGATTGATATAAATTGCAAGCAGTTGCGATTAATCGGAACTGTGTATAAGACGGGGCCCAGGAGTCCTGCAATAGTTCCATTACAAAATAGATGTGCATTTAGATGTAAACATGTAGAAATTTCGTTTTCTTTAGAGTCTTATGAATTCAAGACTACTACTCCAAATCAACTTCTCACGAAGAAGTTTTCATGAGTCCCTCTTTTGAAAAAGATCACCGTTATAACATAAGAATCAATTACTGTCAGTCTTAGTTCCTTTAAGACTATGATCGCATTTAAAAATCCATTCAAATGATTCGATCCTGAGCAAATTTCAAGTTTTCCTCTCATACAAAATGAAATAAATATCTCTGCTTCCTTCAGAGGCATTGAGATGAAATTTGCATCTCAGCATCAAGGTCTGGGTTATTGAACATCCAAAAGAACTCATATAAATATTGTCAGTTTTTATCCTTTAGGAAAAAAATTGCATCTCAAATTTGCTACCATCTTGAGTCATATGAATTATGTTTCTAAGATGCAGTACCCTCATTGGATAACTAACTTACAAGCAACCAACAAAGTTCCTCAGAGAAAAAAAAATTGCATCTTCATATTGTTTCCTTCCTGAGCCTATGCAGTCAAAGTCTCTTCTTGTCAAAGACGCTGATGTTTGAATAAATAACTTGTCATACTGTCCTTCAAAGTGAAATGGTATCTCAATATTGCCTTCATCCTGATTCCTGTCACGAGTCTCTTTCTATTTTTTAAACAAAAATGCAAATCTTGGAATAAATATTGTAGCACTCATCAGAGTTCCAGTGATGAAAACTGCATCTCAACACTGGTGTCGTCCAGAGTCATGTTAAGTGTCTATTTCTATAAAAAGTGCATACTTTTTAATATCTAATTTAATGTAGCATTCAGCCAAATTCCTCAGGGTTAAAATCGCATCTCGTTAATATTTTCATACTGAGTCCCGCCAGTGGCTCTTATTAGGAAAGATGCTCATCTTTCAATCTTGATACAAGATTTCAAATAGATAAGAAGGTAGTTTTCATCGTCTCAACGTCCTTGTCCTCATAAGTTTCCACTGTAAGCATTCACTAGACTCTCTCTCAGGGTGTTCTACTTCATCATGAGCTGTGTTTAGTGTCTATTTATCCATCGCACACTTGATGTATCTCAGCTCTCTTCCGAGTTCTTTAAGATGAGGATAGCGTTGTAGATCTTGAGCGCTGGACCCAGCTTGCATTATAAGTTTCCACTGTATCTAAGCATTCACCAGACTTGCTCAGGGTGTTCTACTTCATCATGAGCTGTGTTTAGTGTCTATTTATCCATCGCACACTTGATGTATCTCAGCTCTCTTCCGAGTTCTTTAAGATGAGGATGGCGTTGTAGATCTTGAGCGCTGGACCCAGCTTGCATTATAAGTTTCCACTGTATCTAAGCAATCACCAGACTTTATCAGGATACTCTACTTCATCATGAGCTGCATTCAGTGTCTATTTCTCCATCGCATATGGTACATGTATCTCAGCTTTCTTCAGAGTTCTTTAAGATGAGGATAGCGTTGTAGATCTTGAGCACTGGACCTAGCTTGCCTCATGAACTTCCACTGTATCTAAGCATTCACCAGACTTGCTCAGGGTGTTCTACTTCATCATGAGCTGTGTTTAGTGTCTATTTATCCATTGCACACTTGATGTATCTCAGCTCTCTTCCGAGTTCTTTAAGATGAGGATGGCGTTGTAGATCTTGAGCGCTGGACCTAGCTTGATGGTCATGATCTTGACGATGTCGCTCTGAGTCAGCAGGAGGAAAGCTTCACCATCAATTTGCTGCAAAGATGAACGGATGATAGCAGAAGGATTATTGTCAAAGAATCACTGGTTCACATTTGATATCTTAAAGCAGGACTGCACTACTTGTAGCTACTTGCTTCCTCTATATAGAAAACAATTCCTAATCAGTGACCATTGGTCCCCCATGATCCTCTTTTTCTTGAGTTGATGAGATAGCCACCTGTCAGTAACCTTACTGGGAGGTCTAATCCCCCTGGCCAAACTAGTACAGACAGGCTTAAAGGCGCATGGCAGTTGGCTTTCATGTGAAATTTGACACTATTCGGGTGTTTACCGAATGTAATGCTTTGCATTTACCATCCATCCCCCCCCCCCCCCCATATGGTAAGTCATTATCTCATTTTCCCCTCACGTGAAGACTCTCCGAGAGACTATATTTCTTGATAGGCCTTTAGGTTTGCTGTGTGCAGATTTGTACACCCATTAATGCTGTTTCCACCAAGTCTGGGGTCAGCGCATTATGGCCTACTGCACATTGAAACTGACAACCCTCTCCCTTTAAAGCTTATCTGCCGTAGTTTACAGGAGAGATTAGACCGCCCTGCAAGGTCACTGGACAGGTGGTTATCTCATCAACTCAGCTCTCAGTTAACATAAGAAAAAGAGGATCATGGGGGACCAATGGTCACTGATTAGGCATTGTTTGTTATATAGAGGGCGCAAGTAGCTATAAGTAGTGCAGTGGGCCTTTAAGAAATTTTTTGAAAGTTCACAACTACCAATGTAGGTTGTTGCTGGAGCTGGGAGCTGGGAAATTTCACCTTTTGGCTTCCTTTGCAAAGTTCAACAATGTTCAATGAAATATTTTGAGCTATCAAGTGTATGTCATACAAGACATAACGACAATTTTGAGTGTATTTTTCATAAACCTGACATATGACTTATGACTTTAAAGGCCCACTGCACTACTGGTAGCTACTTGCGCCCTCTATATAACAAACAATGCCTAATCGGTGACCATTAGTCCCCCATGATCCTCTTTTTCTTATTTTAACTGAGAGCTGAGTTGATGAGATAACCACCTGTCCAGTGACCTTGCAGAGCGGTCTAATCCCTCCTGTAAACTACGGCAGATAAGCTTTAAGGAAAATTAGTAATTGCTGAGTAATGAACAAAAGAATATGAGAAACAGTTACTAGCAGATGTCCTGACACATGTACATAACATGTCGCATTTGCGTCATCAAACTGTATTTTCTCATTAAACATGATTTTCAGGACGTTTCTTGTTGGTTTGTTTATATTTTGTTTGTCCACACAAACATTTCTACTACTCAAAATTACTTTCACGATTGGAGTTGGACAAGAGCCTACTTTGGGTCTTGCCATTACGAGTCCCAATAATTATCAACCCACCTCATCAGCAAACTTGGACGCGTGCTCCTGGCATCCGGGCAGCTTCTGGACAAAGCTGGCCACTTCGTCCATGGTCCACCTAGCAACGGTGGCTGCCGAGAGGTTGGCCACGCCCGGTAACAGCTTGGAATGTTGCTCCCAGCAGAGGGGCAGATCTTTGGCAGGGTGTGGTGACATGGCAGACATGAAGACGGATTGGTGGAGCTGAGACTGCAGGTTCGATTGCCCATCTGAATATTTATCACCAAAAAAAAAGAAGAGATATTAACCTCTTTTAACAGAATAAATCATACATGTCATTTGGCTGAAAATTCAAAAATATTTTAAAGCCCCACTGAACTACTTGTAGCTACTTGCTCCCTCTATAAAGAAAACAATGCCTAAGCGGTGCCTGCTGGTCCCCCATGGTCCCCTTTTTCTTATGTTAATTGAGAGCTGATTTGATGAGATTACCACCTGTCAGTGACCATGCAGGGAGGTCTAATCCATCCTGGCCAAACTAGTGCAGTGGGGCTTTAAGACTTTCGTGAAAAATCACTTACTAAAAACAACAACCACAACGAACAAACAAACAAAAATAAATATAAAGTGAAACAAAACAATTGAACATTTTCAGGAGATTCCAAAGAACTATTCCAACGGCAGCAAGTTGTTTTTAACTATTTGAATGTGGTAAGAAATTGAATGTAACTTCTCCGGACAATTATAAAATAAAATCAATGAATAAAAATGTATTTCTGAAATTTCACAAAGCATCCGCTTTCTTTTTATTAAATCAAACTGGACTGAATCAAATATGGAGTCAAAAAAATATGAAAATACCTAAAATCAGATATTAGCCACAAAAAAGAGTAAAATGTGATAGGCTTACAAAAATTTATGAACAAATTATCACCTTTGAAAAGGCAAAAAAAAGCAGTTGCGATGAAAAAATACCTACTAGTATGTACAATAACTTTTTATTTCTTTGCCTCTAATATGTTTTGTTCGCTTTCAAGCTTTTATATATAAAACTTTGATTTTAACCACTATATCTTGAATGTTTATTTCTTCTAGTCTGTTTAGTCCTTCATATTTCATTTCTTTGGCTTTAGATTTAGATTTATTTCATTTCCAGGAACATAAAGGAGTATAAAAATAACAAAGAATACAAGAAAACGAAGAGAAACAATCAATACATTAAAGGGATCGTTTAACAATGTTAAATCTGAGATACACGGCCCTGGTGTTATCAGTGTATGTGATATGGTGTAATATTGAAGCCCTAAAAAATTGCGCTTCAAAATGATCAAGAAGTGCCTCAAAAAAGTAAAAATCTTTGAGTGACCGGTTTTACCTCACTCTTTTTCCCCAATAGACTGTAGTGTTATGAAAACCGTCAGGCGAACGGTTTTCAAAATTTGTAATTCCAATCATAAATATCTTGATAATCAGACAGGCGATCGGCTTGTAAAAGTCATGGGGTTCCTGACTGACCTAAAGGTTTATAATTATCATTGCATCATGAGCTAAATCCAGAATTTTGTTTTAGAATCTGAGACAAAGTTACCGGATCCCTTTAACAAAAGAAAAGAAACCATCAACTTTTGCCTGTGGATTACCAACAGACATTGAGTTTCTGTAGAAGGCGTTCCTCATTAGCTTTAATTACTCTAATTAATGGCTTTAATAGAATTCATGAATTATGTATCCTGTGCCATAGAAAGTAAACTGGTTTCAATTGGTATCTTTCTTGATCTTTCTAAGGTTTTCGATAGTGTCAATCATTCATATTTGTTACAAAAACTTTCATTTTATGGTATTAGAGGTATTTCCTTGAATTGGTTTGAAAATTATTTGAATAATCGTAAACAATTTGTTATTATTGATCGACAGTCTTCTGATTTATGTAACGTTGTGACTGGAATTCCTCAAGGGAGTATCCTTGGCCCCCCATTGTTTCTATTATTCATTAATGATCTTCATTATGCTTCTAGTAAACTGTCCTTTATATTATTTGCTGATGACACAAATATGTTTTTTGTCTGGTAAATCTGTTCAGCAACTGAATAGGGATTTGAAAACAGAATTGGAGAAGGTTTCATGCTGGTTTTATGCTAATAAATTAAAGGTCAACATGACTAAAACTAATTATATGGTGTTTAAAGGTAGAAATATCAATTTCAATGTTTATGAATTACATGTACAATTAAATGATGAATATTTATCCAGAGTCTGTTCAACAATTTTTTAAGGAATATATGTAGATGAAGGCTTAAACTGGAAGACACATCTTAACCACATTGCCTCCAAGATTTCAAGTGCTATAGGTATTCTTCATATTTCCTTTGTCAATCTTATGTAACCTTTATAATACATTGCTGCTTCCTTACTTGTCGTATGCAAATATTGTTTGGGGCAACTGCTCAGTAACCCTTCTGAATAGACTTTTAGTTCTTCAAAAGAAAGCCATACGCTTGATAACCAAATCTTCCTACCGAGCACATACTGCACCACTATTTAAACGGATGAATAATTTAAATGTTAATTCTATATATATTATGCAGCTTGGTCAATTCATGTTCCAGTACAAACATAACAACTTGCCACCTGTCTTTGATGACCTAGTTATACTGAACTCTTCTATTCATTCATATGCTACAAGAAATGCAAATAGTTTCCATACACCCATAGCTAGGACTTCTTTTTTACAAAAACGGATACCCTTCAATGGACCTATGTTATGGAGTCATCTTCCACCTGACATCAAAAATTGTTCTTCATTGTATTCTTTTAAGGCTAAGTTAAGATTATTCCTGTTAAGTAACCCATCCTTTACAACATTCATATATAGGTACATTTGTTGTAGATGCACCCCCCCCCCCCCCTGTCTTTGATATTTTTCTACCTCTTCTTTCTTGTTATTTGTACCACCTCATAATTTTACCTTATATTTACTTTTAAGTTTTAATTGTATAATTTTTTTTAATTATTGGGGGTAGTCCTCGACAAATCATTTTTGATTTTTGACTACCCCTTCCACATTTGCTGATTTGTTTCTTTTTAAAAGATACATTGCTCCAACTGGAGTCATTCTATATATATTGTACATGTTCTATTATTGTATTGTATGTATGTATTTTATTCTATGTAGCTCCCTATGTTTTGCATTCGTGGAGAAATAAATTGAACTTGAACTTGAATAGAGACTTCGGTGGTAAGCGCTTTGTCAGCACCGTTTATCATTATTATTATTATCATAATGAAAATTTGGATATTCTTACCTTGGCCTTCCACCTTGTTTTGCTTGCCTGGTTCAACCATGTCCTTATGCCTGAATGAAAACAGAAGGAAGAGAACGAAGAGTTGAAATTTAAGACCCTATCCGATGAAAATACAACTTTTTATCAATTGAAAGCTGAATGAACATAAAATGCAAATATAAAGGAATTCAAAATATTTTCCCTTTCATTATTGCACAAAAGCAAATTAAAACCTAATTTTCTGCACCTCTCCAAAATACAGGTCAACAGGAGTCAAATTTGCCACAGTTACAGTGACGACATAATATATGCAACCGATCGGCTCGCCTATAAAGCTGAGGCATTGAGCCGTGCTTAATTAATGCAAAGTCATTGTGAATATGCGTACTCCATATACGATGATTTCATCAATTTGATAGCTATTTTTAGGTCAACAACTCCTAATTGTCAAAACTTTAGATTTCGAGTTTGCAGAGGGCTGTTACTCGTCTGACAGGCACTATAGTACCATATAATTCATATCATTGTAATCTATGGCTTGTAAGCTTTCCTTTAATTGATATATAATTCATCTATTTCATTTTCACTTCAGACAGGGTCTTAAACCCATTACCTACAGGAACTGGATGACCCCTGTATTACTGCCTATGGTAATGAGAGAATTCAGTCATCATCCAGTTAAGTTCTGTTAAAGGTAAAGACCAGTATTGGAAACGCCCCAATTTCAAAAAATGAAATGGAAGCTCTCATTACCAATCATGTGAAAGAATATGTTTTGACTAATACATGATGATAAAAAAATTGCTGGGAAACTGCCTACTAATTCATATATTTGGTAAATTTGTTTCTCTCATGGTCTGTGAGAGATATAGGGTAGTCCCATATACATCTTTCTGTGTATAGTGCTTGTAACTTTACGAAGAATGGGCCAAATTTCTTATCATTTTGATGATTCCAGAACCTTGCAGATGCTAGATGCTAGATGCTAGATGATCAACCTTTTCTGATCGATTCCACAACGTTTCTTTCACAATGCAATCGCATGACCATAACTGGTCTTTACCTTTAATGAGGACTGTAAAGTTAACTCAAGCAGTTCTGTATCTGAATCTGTAACAGGTAAACCCCCATTCAGTAATCTTATCTTATTACCTTCAAAATTTTATCTTATTATTTTCATAATTTTTGTTATCATCTTCATAAATCAAATTTATTTTGTTCATAGTGTATTTTAATTTCTTCATATTTTTATCTTATTATCTATTATTATCTTTATTTTAGTGATCAAATAATTTGCAATCCCACCTTTTCCTGCCCCTGCCAAGCCCTGTTCCTTTTCCAGACATGGGAGGGCGCCCTTTCTGGTGGTGTTTATGCAGCGGGACCAGTGGGACCTGTTCTTTGGTAGGAGGCATCTTGTTCTGGTTCTTCTCCGCCAGGGGGCATCCGGACGTCTTATGATGACTGGTGTACTTCCCTGTCACATGACCACTTCCATCACAACTGGGGGTTGGACACCTATGACATGAAGAGATGATGATAATAAAAATCTGGATTTATATAGCGCTTAAAGGCATCGTTTACCAATGCCAAATCTGAGATGCATGGCCCTACGTGCTGTCAGCGTCCGCGATATGGTGTATAAGTATTGATGACCTAAAAAATTGCACTTCAATATGATCATGAAGTTCCTCAAAAAAGTTAAAGTCTTTGAGTGACCGGTTTTACCATTCTCATTTTCCCCTGACAGAATTTTCTAATTCCAATCATAAATGTCTTGATAATCAGACGGGCAATCGACTTGTTAACGTCATGGGATTCCTGACTGACCTAAAGGTTAATAATTATGATTACAGCATAATTAGAGCTAAATCCAGGATTTTTAAAGAATCTGACCCGATCCCTTTAATATAAAATACCGTCTCTCAGCGCGTCACAGATGTTATGACCCTGGTCATTGGATCCATTCATGCACAATGTGCACCATCTCCACTCCCTGGGGTGTATTCCTACCATATGGTCACCGTGAAGGCACATGGTGATTACTAACACAAAGGCTTTCATCATCGTACCAGGTACATGTATACTAATGCCTTGCCCAAAGACATTAGTGCCGTGTCAAGATTTTAAAGATGAAATAAAATCACCACTTCCCGCACACACAGATAATAAAACATTTTATGTAATATTCCAAGGCAGCATCCTACATGTATGAACATAAAGCTGTATCAGTAGTATATATAGAGAGCTATACAAAATCCTCTATGATGGTTTCTGTAACATTCATTGTGTAGGTCCATGCAATTTAGCTCTTAATAATGTAAATAATGGAAGTGTTTTAGCATTTTTTTGCTCCTACATTGTAAGAATAAAATGTTTATGAAATGGAGTTTGAAGTATATCAATGGAGGAATACATATGGCATATTCGGAGTTACAGGGTTCGTACACTTACACATTTTAAAAATTCCATGACTTTCCATGACTTTCCAGAGCAGGATAATGTAAATTTCCATGACCATTTTCAATGATGAACATGTCTTAATTTAAAGCGTACAACTATACATCATCGCAATACTAGAAAGCAAATCACAAAACTATAAGGCGCACCCCTATTTTGAAGATCCCCCCCCCCCCAAAAAAAAAAAATCTGGAAAAAAAATCTGGAAAAAAAAATCAGAAAAAAAATCTGGAAAAAAAAATCTGTCATCTTTAGTTTAAAAACAACATTGTTAGTTGTAACTAGACATAGGTCTAACTTAGTTCACAAGCACTTCAACTGTGCCTCGTATAATGCAAAGTGAAAGTATTTTTCGAACACTGAAATAAGACGCGATCTGATCTGGTTAACAAAACGCCACCAAAAAAAAGCCAACATTGGTCTTTTTGTTAACATCATCGGCTCTTATTTCCGTGACAGTGTTAAAAAATACTTTCATTTTATTACGAGGCACGGTTGAAGTGCTTGTGAACTAAGTTAGACCCAGTAACAATGTTGTTTTTAAAACTTAAGATGACAGAATTTTCCTCCGAGTCCAAACAGAAATGTGGACAGGCTAGTTTTCGTGTGGTGATTCGTTATCCCCTGTGTAAGTGAGCTGCATCATACAGGTGAGTGAGCTGAAGACACGGGACAGCTTCAACCGGCAAAGTGCCTTGTGACAGGGCATAATATATCGAGACTGAAAAAAAAACTCTCTTTCTTTCAAATTAGGAATGTAGTTTAACTTCAAATAGTAGATCCTATTCTTTATTTGCATTATGTAATTCATGTTGAGACACAGAGATTTTTGAAAACCACTAGAAAGTAGCATTTGAGGACTCAAATATCCTGTTCCTGACTATATAAGGCGCACTCCCGACTTTCGATATTTTGCTGATGGAAAAAAGTGTGCCTTAATTGTGGACGTTGGGGAAAGCAGCAACCACGAGGCTAGGCTAGTTAACTACTGGCTGTATGCTCGCGCTCGCACAATGGACGCCAAATGTGGAATGAAATGCGATTCAGGGTTGCGATATTCGAGTAAAGAGCAACACAATTTTTAAAGGGGTTCTTAAGAAAACACGAGTGGCTCATGATGCATAGTTATTTACATTTAAATTATTGTTTTATGAATATTCTGTGGTATAACCCCGGGGTAAAACACCTTCATTCAAACTTTTAATCAAAATCAAAGCACATTAGCTCGATCAAAAAGTAATCGTACAGCGTGCATGCAGCATTCCTGTATGTACACACACCAGCATCATGCACCGCACCTGTCACTGCAAGTCATTTACGCTCACAAGAATCTTGCATACAGTATGAAAGACACAATAGACACGATACTAGTAGGTCCTAAAGATATTGCGTGTAATTTATTACGAAAAAGGTCCTGTGAACCACAGATTTTACAAAATGTTTTTTCCTTTGTTCACAAGACAAATTAAATGCCATTTTAACAAACATCTTGAAGAAAAAAAGATTTCCCATGACTTTGCAGAAGAAATGGATGACTTCCCTGACTTTCCCTGACTTTTTGCTTCTGGAAAAAACATTTTTAAAATCCCTGACTTTCCAGAAATTTCCTGACCCGTACGAACCCTGGAGTTATTTAAGGGGGGATTTATGATCTTACTTTGGTTCCGGTAGGATGGGTGATGAGGGGGATGACTTTGTTAGAAGACTTGCTGCCCCTCTCTCTGGAGCTAGTCTGTCATGAAGGGTGTTCTCTTTGGTCATGTTCATCTGGGAGTACGGGCAGCCGAAAGCACTGTATGGTGGATGAGAAGGGTCAAATGTCACACAAAGGTCAAAGGTCAAACCTGGGCCCCATTGCATGAAACTTACCATCGATAGTAACTTTGCCATTAATGGTTACTACATGTAACATGGCAACATCACTCAACAGCCAATCAAAACAAGGTTTCCATGTAAGTTACCATGGCAAAAGTTACTATCAACGGTAAATTTTATGCAACGGGCCCCGCTTTAGCAAACCACCTGTGCATAAAGACCACCTGCCTTATAAAGACTGCTTTTCTTGTCTCCTGTGGGTGTCTTTCGTTATATTATTAATTCGAAACAATAATACAGGGGAAGACAGACAAACAGACAACAAAAGAGACAAAGTGAGATAGAGAGACACAGAACAAGAGAAAATGAGAAAAAGAGGACAAAAGATAGAGACAATGAGAGAGGTCCAAAGACATACATGTATTGATGATCAAAGAGAGTGAAATAATACTGAAAAACATAGATTTATACATAGATGAAGAGAGAAAACAAAATATAGAATTCTTCATGTACATTTAATCAACATACAGCAAGCAACATTTTACCTAACAAGATTTGTTTTCTTCTTGTCTTGACTCATATGATTTATATGCTAGAGAGTATTACTCAATTATTGTATCACCATTGGTACATATTCTTGAAATTGTAGCAAAAAAATCTATGAAATTTCCGCTATTTTTATACGATTGGGAAAAAAAATATAATTATTTATCACTACAGGAAGATAGAGGTCAAACCCTTTGCTATTGAATTACACACTTCTTTTGATCTTTGAATGCATCTCTAGTTTTGACTGGCAAATGTATATATAAGGTACAAGGAGAAATGGAATGGAATTTACCTGTGGTGACCTGTGTACTTTGCACCCTTGATATGGCCTACTCCATTACAGCCAGGGGTAGGACAGCCCGATTGCCTGTGAGGGACATGAAACATAGTTATTGGAGTCTGTACCTGTACATCAAAGCAATAAGGTGTGTCGCAGTGTGTATTATCATTAAGTAGTAGTAGTGGAAGTAGCAGTAGTAGTAGTAGTAGTAGTAGTAGTGGAAGTAGCAGTAGTAGTAGTAGTAGTAGTAGTAGTAGTAGTAGTAGTAGTAGTAGTAGTAGTAATAGTAGTAGTTGTAGTGGTAGTGGTAGTGGTAGTAGTAATAGTAGTAGTAGTAGTGGTAGTGGTAGTGGTAGTGGTAGTGGTAGTGGTAGTAGTAGTGGTAGTGGTAGTAGTAGTAGTAGTTGTAGTAGTAGTAGTAGTTGTAGTAGTAGTAGTAGTAGTAGTAGTAGTATTGTCATTATTATTATGTTAGAAAACTAGCATAATGCTGTAAATTGTTAGTTTTTTTCTTTGTGTATTGCTTTGTTTCATACAATCATACTGCTCTCAATTATGTAATTATGTAAACAAAAAATTAAAAAAATTAATGCAACAATTGTTCAGTACAAATTTATTTTGAGTTTGCAAGATATAGCTAGGACTGTATTAGTAATATTCTTTTACTGTCATTTTACAATGGCAAATAATCATGAAATTACATTGTATTAAGGCAGACAGTAATGGCTCAGTGGAAGAGCAGTGATCTTGTTATGGGGAGGTCCCGGGTTCAAAATCAAATCCTTAAATCCTCATTACCAAGTCCCTCAGAGAGGACTTAAAGCCATCGGTACCCTGGTTGCTTACACATGTTTTCTTAGCAGTCAGGTAAAATAAACAAACAAACAAACAAACAAACAGAAGTGACCAATTGTCTACATTAGCAAACAAATTACAACCCTGTGACCTTTTGAACCGACAATCTAATCCAAAGGCTGGAACCCCAGTGCAATATTCTACTGGGGTATGTATAGAATTTGTAATTATGTACTGGGAGTAGCATGTGTGGGGGCACATGCCTCCGGGCAACAGTGATGAACTTCACTTTTGTGCAGTCTGACCCACTTGCTGCTCTCATATCTCTTGGCATGTGTTTGTTCATTCTTATTATGAACTTGTCTTTTGCCATGCTGTATTGTATTTGTCCTTTTTTTGTAATGCATGGTCGAATAAATAATAATAATAATTAAAAAAAGAAAGCATGACAAATCATTCTTACCCAGTGTTATCAGGAATAAGAAGATTAATGGGCGGTACAAGGGGATGACCGGACTTGGAACACCAACCGATCGGATGGATGTCCGTGCTGTCGTCGTCGATCCAAAAATCATAGATCGTGTCCCAACCATCAAAGTGAATCTAAAAGCAGAAGAAAATAAATAGTGAACTATGTGACTACCGGTAATATTAATACATACATGTAGAGGTGCTGTGGACTAGGGTTGGGGTTCAAGTCCCCCCACTGCACTCATATCCCATAATAATTATAATAATAATAATATTATTGATTATATAGCGCTTAATATGTCTGGAATGTCTGAGTTTCTAAGCGCTTTACATTATTACCCCCGGTCATCGGATTCTGGCTTGACCGCACACAATGTATGCACCTTCTCCACTCCCTGGGGAGCATTCCAACAAGAGCTACTAGGCTCAAATTGCTAAGCATACCACATTGGCTTTCGCATCCTAACAGGTACCCATTTAACACCTGGGTGGAGAGTAGCAAATGTAGATCAATGTCATGCCAAAGGACATTAGTGTCGCGGCGGGACTCGAACCGCGGACCTTATGATCGTCAGTCCGGTGACGTATCCACTCGACCACAACACCTCTACCTCACCCATGGCAAGATATTAATCTACATTTGCCACTCGACCCAGGTGATATAAATGGGTACATGGCAGGAATTAATTCTTTGAAATTATAGAGCGCCGTAAGGCAGCAGTGCTAAAGCCAGGGTAATAATCAGGAGCGCCTTGAGTGTCAAATCTGACAGATACGAGCGCTATACAAGAACCCAATATTATTACGAAGAGGGGTAGAAGATGAAATTGGGTTTTTACCAGCATCCTGTAGTCCTCTACTTCTGTGATGGTAGCAGCTCTGATGAGAGACGCATTCCTCTTGTCAACACACTCTAACTTCATACCGACTTGAAACAGGATCGGGGGGCGCTAAACAGAGAAGAGAAGACAAGCGATAGGTACTTTGAAATCATGTTTCCATTTACACACCGTATATCTGATAAACCCTTTAAGAAATAATGCTGAACTAGCAAGTACTCCAAAAGACTTTTTGTGTTCCTTACATTTACATAACCCTGCCGTAACTTCAGAATTTCAAGCAAACTGCTTTTTTTGAGTTGGACAATATGGTCTTTGACCTGTGGACGTTGTTATCCTGCTAGTATGTTAACAAGACACTGAAAATTTATTTCTCAACAAATCTGACTTTAATGCTAACACATAAGAACATGCCAAGATTTTAATCATATGCATTCAATTATGATAATTAATGTTCAGCTGTAAATGTGAAAGTTTATGTAATGTGCCAATCTCTACAACGGAGACTCACCGGTTTGAACGCTCGGGTAGGGACAGCAACTGATTTGGACTTGGCAAGGTAGTCCGGCCAGGTGAAGTTTTGTAGATCAGGCTGGTCTGAAATCCACACAATTATCAAAGATAGTTTTACATGACACAAATCGTTAATGATGTTGCTGTTTAAGAGACAGACATCAGGGGAGTGTTTCACAAAGACTAAGATCTACTTTAAGTTGGAATTAACTATGGTAGGCCGTTCATGCCACTGTTTGCTCTCACCATTTACTGGCATTGGTCTCTCAAGGGATGTACAAATCATGGTCACAAATCTACAGAATTTACATTTGTTGATAATTCATTATCAAAGGAAAAAATATTATCTAAAGGTCATAATGGTGAGAGCAAACAGTGGCATGAATGGCCTGCTACTTGAAGGATTTGTGAAACACTCCCCTGATTTCAAATGCATATCAATAAAGGAGAGGATAAGTGTAGGGAAAGCAGATTACCCAAGATTAACTGTACCAAACAGTTTTTGAGACATATCAATGTTATAAACACTGCTACCCTAAAAGACACAGACCATGAGCATATCTGCAAACACAAATTTGAACAAACAAAAAAAAAGGCATTCTTTATCCAACTGAAAACGGACATATGTTTCACAGTTCAAATTTTCACTGATTTATTTCAATCATTTTGATTATATACCGGAAAAGAAAATAACTTTGCAATGTAATTATTTCAAATTTAATAAAGTTTAGTTATATTCTTCAAGACTCATCATAATAAATAGTTACCAATAAAATTGACTTGCTGTTTGTTAAAAGCCCGTCTGTACTAGTTTGGCCAGGGGGATTAGACCTCCCTGCAAGGTCACTGACAGGTGGTTATCTCATCAAATAAGCTCTCAATTAACATAAGAAAAAGAGGATCATGGGGGACCAACTGGCACCGATTAGGCATTGTTTGCTATTTAGAGGGCGCAAGTAGCTATAAGTAGTGCAGTGGGGCTTTAATAGGTAAATTAAAGCCGATCAGGCAATTGGTTTGAAAATGGTTTTATAATAAACGAAATTAAGCCTAATGGGTACACCCATTAATCGTTCAAAATTTTAATAAATGCAAACTATAACCAATCAAATTTTTACCGTTTGGCGGTGTCAGTGCCAATCCATTCTCCTCGCACCATCCCACAGGATGTATGTAGGGTGATGCAGCGTCGCACCAGTAATCATACATGTCTTCCCACGCATCAAAATGGATGAGGAATCGGTTATCCATGATGTCCGTTACCGTGGCAACGCAGATGAGGGATGGGTTCTTCCGGTCCACGGCCTCCAGCTTCATGCCCTTCCGGAAGCCTTGGGGAGTCATGGTTTCCTGCGAAACGAAAAATGTATTTTCAGGTTGATAGAGGTGTTGTGGTCTAGTGGATAAGTCACCCGACTGCAGATCACAAGGTATGGGGTTCAAGTCCCAACTCGGCACTAATGCTTGGCAAGACATCAATCTACATTTGCCACTCTCCACCTAGGTGTAACTGGGTACCCGATATGCTTGAGCGCTAGTTACTTTGGCAGCTCGGCTATAATCAGGGTAATATGTATAAAGCACCATAAGTGTCAGAGCCCAGCGAATACAGGCGCTATATAAATATCCATAATATTATAAATTCAAGTTATTCAACACATGAAATGTACAAGGGGAAATGTATCTTTCATTTTATCAATGAGGCAAATGAGGAAATAATGGTAGGCCTTTTCTGGAGGATGTGTCCTACCGTATGTGTAGCCACTGGCAGATTTAAGTTCAGTGCCCCCAGACATTTCTTTGAATTGTTCCACCGCCCTTGCCCCCCCCCCCCCCCCCCCCCCCACCCCACCTCTTACCAAATCTAACCCTGTGTGCATCCACTTGCGCATGCTCTACTTGTAATGATACCATACTGATGGATTCTCAAAAAACTATATAAGCGTACCCAAAAAAATTAAAGTATTGACAGATAAAAAATTATCTGCAGTGTGTGCAGGAAATAGAGCAATAGAAAATGTTCCTTATTATGTTGATTATTATAATCCTTTATGATTAAAAGATTACTAGACTGTGTTGACAAACAGTAGACAAGCTGGGTGTAGATCATATGGGAATATACCAGATCGAGTCTCACCTTTGGGGCCACAACGTTTTGGTATCATAGATAATTCAAAGGGCATACTCACATTTTCATAGTTGCTGAAGAGATGTCTGGGTGCTGAGGTAGATCTGGTCATCTTTAGGTAAGCAGTCCAACTAAAATCAGTCTGGAATCCTGAAGAAAAGTTTTTAAAATATCAATATTATATTAGCCTATGATGTAATTTTCTTCTCTATTCATTTGTTCCATCTAACCTTTCCTTCCTTTTAAAAACCAAAATTTTCATTATAAGGTTGCTTAAAATATTTACTCTTGGTTTTTATCCTCAATGACAACAAGATATAATGTATCGTGTAATAGTGGTATATATAGTGGAGTAATGTATAATTCAAATAACAAAATAATTACAAAATGGTTTAAATCTACATGTGTGCAGACTAAATTTCAATCAAGTCATCAAAATAAGATCTGTATATCCATGTACCATATATTCTCTAATCGATGACAACAAAAGAAATCACACATGAATACTCTAATCACACATCACACTTCTTACAGGTACATGTATTTCCTTGAAGCATCTTATCTACAGTTGTTACTCTTGACCCAGGTGTAGGTTTAATTGGCATTTGTAGAATGTATTATTCAAAATGCAGTGCATTGGGAGCGTCTCCCATAGCTAAAGCTAGAGTTAAGGAAAATTATCTCACAATCATCTGTTTAGAGCAAAAAATGTAATGACTCCTGTCATTATATAAAGATTCATCTTTATTGCCATCTTGTACTTGCTATACCTGTCTGTTTTACTCACTATTGTATATTTACTGTATCTATAAGTTTATTGTATTACTTGTAAACATGATCAGTTTTGGTCCTTGGACCTTTAAATCATGTATATTTATATGTCTTTTTAAACCGAAATAAAGAAATTAAATAATAAATAAATAAATAAATAAATACCCTTCTGGCTCCAAACAGAGAATAAATACCTAGATATTTTTTTTAATACAATATGCCCGACATAAAAGTGGAAAATTATCATCACTACAATTCTCTGTACCTTTTGGTGGCAGTAGTTTGTGACCGGTTTTCTCGCACCAAATATGATATGTGCCCGGTACAAAAGTGGAAAATTAACATCACTAAAATCCTGTACCTTTTGGTGGCAGTAGTTTGTGACCGGTCTTCTCGCACCATCCCGCTGGGAGGATGTCTGGAGAGTCCGAGCTCACCCAGAAATCATAGCACTCGGAATAGCCGTCGAAATGAAGGCGGAGCCTGTAGCCCCGGATCTCCATCACCGTCAAGACGGAGAAGAGTGACGGGTGCTTGGGGTCGATACCCTCTAGTTTCATGCCGACCTTGAAGAGATTCTTGCCTGTTGGAAAAGGCTGCAAACCAGATGGGAAGAAATAAAAAATTACAATAAACGAGATTGTAGTGTCATACTTCAGTTACACTGCCAAACCGACCAATTCTTAGCCATAGGGATTGTTTTGTTGGTGTGCTAACACATCATCCAGACATGGTCATGTATAAGTCCATTTCTCCCTCTCTCTCCTAAACAAATCTAATAAGTTTATTTATACTGAGCAAGGCACCAACAGCAAGCTACACCAGTGTGGAAAGCAATACTTTACTGTTCATAAAGGTTCTTTTTTATTTCCTTCTGCAAATGTGCACATTTTTCAGTAATTTATTTTATTTTGTTTGCTTGTTTATTGCAAGAGCTCTTTTTCAGATTACAAGACTTCTTTCGGAGCCTACTAGAGCTAATTCACTCACTGCTCACAAGTATTATTATTTAGCTGAGATATAAGCATGCTGGAATAGCCATATCCATATTTTTAAGCATCCAGCAATTGCCTTACATAGCACCAAGTTCATGTGTACTATTCTTCACAAAAAGCTGAGATTCTGCCATCACTTTTGTCTAAAGTTTATGACTCAGAATAATCTAGATTTCATCCAGTCTCATCCAGTTACACTCATTGCATGTCTGTCATACACAATGTGTATCTAAATCTTGCAGAAATAGAAAAGGAGGAAAATGCATGTTGCTACTCAAGGAAACTTAACTTACCGTTTTGAAGAGTTTTACAGGTGCTTGAGAAGCTTTCTCCTGCTCTAGATATGCTGGCCATTGGAATACTTTCCTTTTTCCTAAAGACATATCCAAACAGAGAAAAACTGCTGAGTTACCCAGTTTTATCTACGTTGAAAGATGTTGATCACTGAATAGGTGCTCTCTCCAGGGGGGCGTTTCACAAAACTTGTCAGTTGTCATCAATGAAAAATGACAGTTTTTGTTATTAAGCTACTGAAATCCTTGCTTCTGATTGGTTATCAGCAGATTTGTCACAGATTTTTGTCATTTGTCATTGAAAAAAGACTTTGTGAAACAGGTCCCAGGAAAGGCGGATAATTGAAAATGCAGTCAACATAGAACAATTTTTCAAAGAAACATATGTCGGTCAAACTTCTATCAAGGTAAATTAGCAAATAATAAGGTTTAAACAAAGTTATTGGATAAGGTCCCTACAACAGTGCCTTGAGTGTTCCAAGACTGCTAAACTGATGGAGCAATGACTTTACAAGCTAAGGCAAGTTGCTCTTCCAAATAAGCATACACAGTTGTGAATACAGTGTAAGTACAGGGAAGATGGTGCCTATAGTAGCAGGGATTGGGGATTAAGGGTGATTAGTGAACACACGATAACAATTACATCCTGTGATGACAATGACTATGAGGAGGCACGATAGCTCAGTTGGTAGAGCTGTACGTGGTCTCGTAATCCGGTGACCCGGGTTCGAAACCACGTCGATGCGCTAGTGCCCTTTGGTAAGACATTAATCCTCATTACCAGATCCCTCGGAGAGGACCTAAAGCTGTCGGCCGTCTGGTTACTTACTTTAATTACAATCATTTATGCTTTCTTAGCAGTCAGGTAAAATAACCACCAATAACCAAGAACCAATAACTATGATACTCCCCAGAATGTATTCAAGACAAAACTATCATTTAAAACTAGAGAAAGAAAATAATTGTTAATCTAAATTTTTAACATTTATCAATCTATCTATCTGTCCTCCTATTTCTCTAGCCTATTCTCATATAGTATTGCAGAAAGGCATCTTCAATAGGTTCGCTATTTTCTGTCTATCATAAGATGCTCTTATCCAAATAATACCCAGATCCTTTCTCACAGGGCAGACCAAGGCTTTGTTAGAAAGTTTGGGAAGTGGGGGGGGGGGGGCGCACAGTTTTGAAAACAGAGTTGAACAATTGAAAGGGGTCATAAGAATTACAAAACAACTAGAAGGGGCACAATTTTTTTTTCTTCAAAAGGAGGGGTACAAGCTATTTTGCCCCTCCCTATTAAACTCCCCTGATGCTCTCTACTATCTCTACTCCACCCTGTTTGCCTCTTCACCAACATTTAAAATTGAAGAGTACCTGAAAATTGAAGAATTTTTTTTGTTATAACTTGAAGTAATTTACCTTTTCCATTTGCTTTGTCTGGAGATCTTATGTTGATAGTCATCTTGAGATCACCATGTAATCTTGCAGAGGGAGAAATCTACAGAGTAAAATAAATCTGGATTAAATTAACATTGTCCTTGTTTAAAAAGTATATTCAGCTATTGTTGACCATCACAAATAACTCAATGTTAGTGCCTGCCCATACAAATCTGAAGGCACTCTTCGGCTGCTCCCTGGGAAAACGGAAGTCCATGAAGCCATTTACTAAAGTCAGACACACATTTCTCTCTCTCTCTCTGTCCGTCCGTCCGTCTGTCTGTGTGTGTCTCTCTCTCTTTCTCTTTCCCTCTCTCTCTGTCCGTCTGTCTGTCCGTCTGTCTCTGTGTGTGTCTCTCTCCCTTTCTCTTTCTTTCTCTCCCTCCAAAGATTTATTAAAACAACCTATCTACCAGATAACAAAAGCGATCTTCTTCTGCTCTCAATCATTCTCAGATCTTGGTCGTACTAAACTCTAAACAGAGTTGCCTACATGCTCTATCTACTTATGAAGGATCCAGATAATGTAATGCAGAAGCTGATAGAGGGTGCTATACAAGCATCATGCTCAGAGCCATTGTTAAGGAGAGTTTGGCCTACCCAGTAGTAAAATATGGCGAATACTGCTTTGTTGTAAAAGCATGAATCAAGAATATACGCCATGTTGTGACCAACGGAAACCAAGTTGGTCAAACTCTGTGTGGCTCCGATCATGCATGTCTCTTGCGGTTGGGAGCGTGTTTTGAATAGGTCATAGGAGAGCACTGTAATGCGCATGAACCTTCCATGCAATCATAATTATAAACCTTTAGGTCAATCAGGAACCCCAAGACTTTTACAAGCCGATCGCCTGTCTGATTATCAAGATGTTTATGATTGGAAATCGATATTTCAAAACCGTTTTCAAAACTATTTTTATAATACTAATCTACTGGGGAAAATGAGTACCGGTGTGGTAAAACTGATCACTCAAAAGATTTTTACTATTTTGGGGCACTTCATGATCATTTTGAAGCACAATTTGTTTAGGGCTTCATTATTACCATATCACAGACACTGATAACACGTAGGGCCATGCATCTCAGATTTGTAAAACTGGAAACATTGTTAAAGAATGCCTTTAAATGGAACTCACATATAAACCTGATGAACCTTACATGTATGTCACCTAGAGTAGCATTCAAGTTCTTACCTTTCCTGATGGGGGTAGTGCCATCTTTTTCTTTGGTCCTTTCTTCTTGGCTGCTCCTCCTCCGTTGACGGTCGTACTCATCGCTTCCTTGATAGAGTTCTTCTTCAGAGCCCCTTGCCTGATGAAATTCAACAAATTCAAATTTTGTATAAATGTAACGCTTCCTGGGAGAAATTTCAATTATTCAAACATATTTGTGGCTTACACCCAGTAAATAAGATTGATCTGCATTTATCATGCATGCATAGTTTGAACAGCTCTTCTTTCAAACCTTTTTGATAATTATCCTAACAGTATCTGATCTACATGTATATTACCGTTAGTTTTAGTTACACATTCATTTATAAATTATGTTAACCTTATCTTTATATTTTATTTTATGTATGCACCAGCCAATGTGGAGAGCCTCTAGACAGAATTGTTTAATTCTTTTAGGTGATCCTCAGGCATTGGCTGGTGCTAAATATCATTATATGTATGTTATATCATTTGTCAACCTTGTGATGTTTTGTATGTTATCATCTTGCCTGGAAATAAAATAAATAAAAATTAAATAAATGCAAGTCCGAAAAAATCTTGGAACCTGCCATCTACTGCTTGGCGGGCAGCTACTCTACCACCAGGCCATCACTGGTCCATGAATCAGAAGAGCTAGGGCATTTGTTTCTAGTTCATCATGAATGTGCCATGAATGTTTAAATCAAATTCAAATTTACAGTGAAAATTAACCAGTAAAATATGAAGGAGTGTCATATCAAAATCATATTAAATTGAACATGGTGATGCTATCCTTTCTATCTTTTCTTCACTGCTCTACCCATCTCCTCTGCCTACCTTTGGTTCTCTTCTACTCTCTCGCTCAGCCGGCATCCTCGTCCTACAAAACTTATTTCATGTATACCCAAATAAAGCTGTTAATAATAATAATAATAATAATAACTATTTCTTATATGGCGCTTTTTCAGGAGGGCCCTATCAAAGCGCCTTATACAGATATAATACTATTACCCCGGTCGTCGGATTCAAGGCTTACCCGCACACAATGTATGCACATTTTCCACTCCCTGGGAAGCATTCCAGCCAGGCGTCATTTTTACAAGCGCACACTTGCTAATCTAAGCACATTAGCTTTCGCATCCTACCGGGTACCCATTTAACACCTGGGTGGAGAGTGGCAAATGTAGATCAATGTCTTGCCAAAGGACATTAGTGCCGTGGTGGGACTTGAACCGCGGACCTTGTGATCCACCGTCCGGTGACATATCCACTCGTCCACGACACCTCTACTGAATTTTACTATAAGTGTATTTGTTTATGCAATATGAATAATTTTTTGTAGATATAAAAGTTGAATAACCATATCATAGTTATCTCAAAAGTACCGGTAGGTGGTTTATACACACTTACTTGCTGGCATAGGCACCCACGCATGATTGTGAACAGAAGCGTCCGGATTTGCAGAACTCAGCCGACAAGCCCCTCTTTCCACACTGCTCACACATACATGACTCCTCCTTGAGAATACTGTTCTTCCTTGGTCCTAAAAAATAATAACAATAATAATAATATTCCGCTTTTATATAGCGCTTAATACATCTACAATGTCTCTAAGCGATTTACAGATATACTATTGGTGGTTTGATGGGGAGAATATGTGATGTTTTTCCAGATTATTTTGTATATAAATCCCTGATGAGGGGGGGGGGGGGGGGAGGAGCTAAACCACAATAAAGGCCCTGTTTAACAATGTTTCCAGTTTTAAAAATCTGAGAAGCATGGCCCTACATGTCATCAGTGTATGTGATATAGTGTAATATTGAAACCCTACAAAAATTGAGGTTCAAAATGTAAAATTCATAAGTATAAAATAATCTTTGATTGACCAGTTTTACCGTACTCATTTCCCCCAATAGACTGTAGCATTATAAAAATCGTTGGGAAAACGGTTTTTGAAATTTCTAATTCCAATCATAAATATCTTAATAATCAAACAGCCGATCGACTTGTAAAAGTCATGAGATTCCTGACTGACCTAAAGGTTTATAATTATGATTGCAGCATGAGCTCAATCCAAAATTTTCTTTTAGAATCTGAGGCAAAGATAACCAACCCTTTAAGACTATGACACACTATATACAGAATTTTAGATCAGAATATTTAAGTCACGAGTGTCCTGGGGGAAAAAGCTGTGTTCAAGGTCCAATTCCTATTATAACTATTATGTACTTAGCATCACTTGAGCAGGGGTGGGGAAAACAAACTCAACCACTTTAAATCTTGGGTTCTCTCTGTCATGAAGAACTGGGCAGTGCTTCACAAAGACTAAGATCGACTTTAAGTTGGACTTAAATATGGCAGGCCGTTCATGCCACTGTTTTCTCTCACCATTTACTGGCATTGGTCTCTCAAGGGAAGTAGAAATCATGGTCACAAATCTACAGAATTTACATTTTTTGATAATTCATTATTGAAGGAAAAAATATTATCTAAAGATCATAATGGTGAGAGCAAACAGTGGCATGAAAGGCCTGCCATAGTTGAGTCCAACTTAAAGTCGATCTTAGTTTTTGTGAATCACCCCCCTGATCAGATTGGGATATGCAGGTTAACCACTAAACCCAAGGTTTCCCTACTCTTATTCCGATAGTGAAGTGGGTTCTTTACACGCATACACGTAGGTGGTGACTTTCCTGTACACGGGACCGCCATTCAACATCCTATCCAAGGGACAATGTTTTCTACTCTAACCCAGCCTGGGTCTATTTTGACTTACTTCCTCTTCCAGCATATCCAGGGCTGTTTCCAGAACCAGTGGGTCCAGGACTAGGACTAGGGGTTGCAGCTCTACTGACTGGCTGGCTGCCGGTCTCACTGACATTTGGTTCCACTCCATCTAGGGCTTGGTCCTGAGTAGGTTGGTCCTCTGTTTGTTGGTCCGTGGTCTTGGACTGCTGTTCAGAGGGCTGCTGATCCATGGGTTCCTGGTCTACTGATGAGTCAGGAAGTGTATTGGGGTCTACCTCCCGCTGGCCTGCATCACCTGCTGGACCAGGAATTCCGAGGTCAAAGTCCAGGTCATCCATGATCAGGTCTAGAGCTCCAAACTCATTCTTGCGGAACTACATGGGATTTTATAAAGGGTACAAGTACATAGCAAATAAGTTTGAGCAGCAAATTTAGTATTACGTTTTTCTTCTTGTATGTTCAAATCAAATCAGATTACAATAGTGACATATATAGCATAATTAATTGTTTAATTACCTTCGGATTTTGATGAAAATGACATGAAAACAATAAAAGACAATCAAAATATCTCACTTTCAAAGAGCTTCCAGGTAGGGTCGCAATCCCATCCTTCCATTCCAGCAAGTCCTCTGTCCCTCCTCCCACGCCGACCCCTCCATCTCCTCCAGCTCCAGAGTCCACCTCCATCTCCTCCTCCTCCTCCTCCTCTTCCTCCTTGGCTTCTTCTTTAGGTACAGCGCCCTCTGTGGTCATTCCTTGCACAGTGTCCGATACCTGGGCATCTGAAGATGGAGCAGAGCTTTTGGGGACAGTATTCTGACTACTGGCTGGACTAGTACTAGCAGGACCAACATCTTGTTCTGGTCCTTTAATGGGTGTTGGGTCTGCAGGAACTAGATCTTCTTGCTTTGGAACCATCCCACTTTGGAGATGATCTTGTTTTCATGAAGAAAAGAAAAAAAGAGGAAATCCATTTAGAACATTGACACTGCTTTTCAACATTTTTTAACAATGGTGATCTTACTTGCATATATATATATGCCTGATTTAGGCACAAATTGCTAGACCGATACTGGCTTCCTATTTTTAGACTTGTGGAAAGCTCTGGCAAGAAAATCTTTGAATCAAATAAAAAGCTTGCTGTGTAATTCACACAAACAAAAGCCTACATGTTATACACATTTAAAGAGAAGGTTGAGTTCTGGGAAGAGGTGACAAAAAGTTTGTGAGCGTTATCATTCTTATTATGCAAGTGTGGAAGAACATCAGATAAGACATGTTCCCTGAAAAGCATGGCTCTTCAAATGCCTTCATATTCTAAATATGTCATGAACATCGTAAAACTTGGGGGGGGGGTAGGTTTTTTACGCCACGTGTTCGTGTAGTCCCATATTCATCTTTCTGTGTACAGTGTTTGTAACTTTACCAAGACTTGGCCAATTTCTTATCATTTTGATGATTCCAGAACCTTGCAATACACACAATTTCTTATATGCTAGATGATCAACCTTTCTGGTCGATTCCACACCGTTTCTTTCACAATGCAATCGCATGACCAGAACTCAACTTCATCTTTAAAATAGCAGTTATTACTGAAAAATGTAGAGAACATCCGCAGTTTTGTGATATACATGAACATGGTGTTTTTTAAGACATTTGCTTGGTCAACAAATTTAATAAAACCAAAACAATATTGTGTCTTGCAGAAATAGGCTGGTGCATGGTCAATCTAGTCATATACATTTAGTAACCTTACCTTCTGAATTGCCCTGCTCTATAGTCCCAATTGGAGTTGCGTCCTTTTGGTCCTCACTTTCTCCATCGTCTGTAACATTTTTAGCTTTTTTGGTGGGGGGTTCCCCCATGACTTCAGTCGCTGCCTCCGTTGTCATGATGAACAATCACCTGGATCATGCAATGATCAATTTCTAAACCAACTGGAAAGTTCACCTGTTAAAAGGAAGTAAATAAAATAAATCAATTTGTAACGTTTGTATTATAATTTGTTTTCACTAGATCAAATGAAAGAGTACATGTATGATGAAGAGCCTCTACAATGTACAGTGTAACCCTATTTCTTTCTCACAACATACCCTATTAACCCTAATGAGGCCAGAGTATTTGAGATCTTTCTAGTACGGGGGGGGGGGGGGGGGGGGGGGGGGGGGGGGGGGGGGGGGGGGGGGGGGGGGGGGGGGGGGGGTTATGCCCTCCCCCCCTAAGATCTCGGCCGTGAAACAGCGGATTGTAACAAAAATGTGCACGCATGTCAAATAAAGTGTATAGAATACTATGGGTAATTCAATTTTTTGAAAAATTCTCTCATTTGCATATTTATGATAAATTACGCAAACAAGGTCATAAATTCACATTTTTATCCATAAATCATATTCTTCATATTTCAACATTAGTTTTCACTACATATATTTGTTAAACCATTTGGAATAAAAATGCACCAAAAAATTTTGGAAGAGCAATCCTTATGTTATCTCATATTTTGATAATTTATAATGTATTTCATTGTTTTTTTAACTTATGTATTTTATTGTTTTTTATATTTTATTTCATTTTCAACTACAATTAAACTATTTTGACCCCCAAAACAAACACTTAACTTTAAACAAGACCAAATAACCAACGTTTTATCTCTTTTTAGGAAAAATTACATTTTCATATGTTTTGTACTCAAATCACGAAAATAGCGATTTTGGGGCTAACATGCAAAGACAAAAGGTCACGTCACTTTGTAACTGTATGTCCGATTTTCAAAAAAATTGTTTTAGATGATGCGCAAGACTCGAGAGAAAAAAGTCAGCGAGCGACAGGGCGTCATCCGTATGCGTTCCTGAACAATCAGAAAAATTGCGAGGGGCCATTATGCCCCCCCCCCCCCCCGGCCTCATTAGGGTCAAGATGATCCAAAATCAAAAGGGGGGGGGGGGGACGCACATCAATTACTTGGAAAATAAAAATGCAGAGCTACCAATTAAGTGCTATGCGTGACATCACGCATTTCGAGGGTCTGAAAAGGATCTCACGCATAACGCGCGATTTCGAAAAAATGCTATACGCTATACGTGTGTTATATACCCTTGCCCGTGCGTAGAGTCTTGAAAATGTCACGCATAGCTGATCTTTGAACTTGGCGTCTCTGGAAATGTGCCACCTCTCCCTAAAATGAAAGTATCGATCTCTAAATGTCTATTCTCCTTCCCAGGCCCCCCCCCCCCCCCCCCCGGCCCTTTTTTGTTTCTCTCTCTCTCTCTCTCTCTGGCTTATTAAATTGTCACATAATTTTCAGATACATGTTTTCTTTGTTCTGCATGCATGGGTACAACATGAATTCACATGTATAGGCTACAGTTAATTTGTATTGATGAAATAAATATTCAACCAATCGTCATAATAAAAGTATAATAGACTTAATGAAGTTAATATAATTAATCAAACTAAAAGTCATATTGAATTCAATCAACAATGCCTATGCAAATTATATCCTAAATTACTGCACACAAAAACAGAAATGATTGATTTTCCACTTATGCATGTACATTAGAATATTCATATCACAACCCATGAAACAGACATGTACATGCATGTGCATTAAAAACATAACTGAAAAGGCAGCTAGCACTCAGTGTGGATCTACATGTACTGTACAGGCAAAATATATACCATCAGCTTTTAGTTACATGTTAGAAAGGCATTAACTTAATTGATAGCTGTATAGTAGGTGCTAACACCCTTCTGGCTCTTGTACAGACGATATTTGATCTGTATCCCACAATCACACAGTATGTACATGTAGTCGACAATACATCCAACTTTAGAATACATGGGAAGTGAAACTACATTAACTTGTACATATAAACCCAATAGCCTAGCTGACCCCTAACCCTAATATAGTGAACATGCCTAAATACATGCAAATTAGGAGCAGGATAGCTGAAAAGTTTGTTGAAGGCGTATAACTAGGAAATCTACAAGGACTTGATTTGTTTGTTTAAATATTTTGCAGTTTTATATATCTTATCTGGTATATATAGCTGCAAGCAGATCGACACTGTATATATGTAAAGGGGAATTATAAGTCTACCCTGATATTAATATTAAGTTGGTGTTATTAGAACTAGAAGCAGAAAAATTAGAGGAATTAACAGCTAATAGTCCATGTTGTAATTCCAGTACTTAAATTAAAAATATGAAAGATATGTATTTTTAAGTTAATTATTGTCATATGCATGCAGTGCATGAAACATCAACACTGTGACGTAAGTATCATGCAAGCTTCATATCCAATTTGCATTGTACAGAAAATTCTATTAGCTTTCAGTTTTATTGGTGATGGAATAGATTTGTTTCTGGGTTGTTTATGAAAACATATTGCAATACTTATAATTTAGGGTGAATGTATGATTGAACATTTCCTTCAGTTTTTCAATTAGTAGGCTACAGGGCAAATGGGAGGGGAGCTCGCAAGATACGTTACAGAGTTGCCAATTTGTGTTTGATTGGTATTGCACACCTTCAAAAAGTTGTAAATCTCTGAGGCATGCAGTATACGTGTGCAGATATTCTTCATACTATAGTATAACTTCAAAAACTTTTTTTCTTTCTTCTAAATCATATTCTTGATAAGGAAGTTCTTTATGGTTTTGCCACTAATAATAACGCAAAAAGAAATTAAGATCGTAAAGGCTGGATAAAGAATTAAATCAGATTTAATTCAATTAATCTAGGGTCTATCAATCATTTGAAGTAATATCAGCAACAAAAACTCACATTTAATAATATGTCTCCCAACATGTTAAGATTAAATAACAATTATGCCCATGCAGCCTTCCTAAATGTCTGAATGAAATAAAGGAAATGAAATGAATAACAAACAAATTCCATGTCAAAATGACCTATGCTATGACCCACGTGTTTCTGCAGACAATTTCCTTATATTTCATGCATCCATGCATTTACAGTAGGCTACACAATTAACTGTACGATTCGCTGCGCTGCCGAGTCGAGAACAAAACAAATGGAGCCTTCGCGCACTTTTTGTGTGTATTATCACTATGAACATGACAGACAATGAAAGCGGACAAAATATACAGTTCCTCAGGAAAACAAAGGAACATCCCTTCACTGCTATTATGTAAAAATGTGTAGAACAGGTGAATATGCATGTGACACCTGTTCTACACATTTTTACATAATAGCAGTGAAGGGATGTCCCTTTGTCTACCTGAGGAACTGTATATTTTGTCCGCTTTCATTGTCTGTCATGTTCATAGTGTATAGAGCTCTCGTGTGAGCGAGTGTGTGTGGAAAGACGAAGTGACTAAAAACACGTCGCTAAAAATGATAGAAAGCAGCAAATTTCACAGAACTAAGAACAGATATGGATTTTTTGAATAGATGAAAGTGATGAAAATATTTCCTTCCTAGATTTGGTGGTAACAGTATGGTATGAAACTCAGTATTTCGGAAGCAAAATCGACAAAATCCTCACTTTTTGGGCCTGATCGAGTTTTGCTTTGAAGAAAAATGGCGACGGAACATCGCAGCATACTACGCAGTGGCGATCAAAGTGGTATTCAAACTTGGAAGAAAAAGTAGAAATGCAGACATTGCAACTGCGTTTCATACAAAACTGATAGCAATTAACCGTAAAGTGAAATTTCAGAAACACAAATCATATAATCATAGCATGAAGGAAGACATTTAGGACACATAAAATACAATTTTCTGGCGCATACGTCAAGCGGTCGGATATATAATTTTCAAGACGATCCCTTAATAAAACCATACTAGAGGTCTACTCTGTGAAGCTCGTAATTGTATTTATGAAACGATAACCTTGAATATCATTTTTATTTCAGGACTACGAGTATCAAAAAAAAAATTAAACATTACCGTCGCTGGTACAAACAAAACATAAAGATTTGTTCTTAATCTCCGTGGGAGTCTTTGGTAATTTCATATTGATTTTAGCGCTTAAAACCTCGGTGAAAAAGTGATGAAAACTCTGCATGAATTCATAACTTGTCAAGTGCTACAAGAATGGAAAAGGATTGATCCGAATGATAGAAAACGACAACAAAATCTTTTTGTTAGTAGGCGTTTAAAACGAAAACGGCTCCTTCCAACAGTATTTCAGAATTAGAAAAGTAAAGAACAAACATTTTCATACACGATGTTCGTAAACATAATGGCAGAACTCAATTTTTTCGTTTAAAAAAATGAAATTCTTTGAAAGTTTTCGTCACTCACCTTATCTGGCATTGACTACGCTCGTGCATACAGCATGCGCTTGCACACAAGTAGAATCATAACATCGCATAGCATGCACACAAACGAGGAGTTCGCGCTAGCGGTAGGCCATGTATTTTGCATAAAGAATCACCTCGGTTCGCTCGCAAGTCTCATGAGCTGTTCGTTTATTTGCGCTACCCTCCCGCTGGAATACGCGAACAACCCCCCCCCCCCCCCCCCCCACTCTCTCTCTCTCTCCTCTCTCTCTCTCTCTCTTTCTCTCTCGCTATCTCTCTTTCTATCTCTCTCATTCAGCTTTACAATGATTGAGCTTCCATTGTTAATACATTCTCTTTAAACCCCACGGGATTTCCCCGTTCTCATATTTCAAATTCGTAAGATACTTGTATTTATAAAACTTATTAAAAAATCCATGTCAATCTATTATTTGTCTGTATATATTTCTTCAAAGTATCAAAGTTCTGCATGTAATACGTATGTATGGATTTTCGTTCGATGAGGATTTTTCTAAGGGGGAGTGGTCGTAATAAACATGACAAAAAAGAAGAGAGCATTTGTACCAAAAGTGAAAACAACTAATGTAATCTGATTCTGCTTTCCGTAACATTTTCTCTTGACTTTATTTATTGTTAAACAGTGATGGCACAATGCCGAAGGGGGGGGGGGGGCGGGGGGGGGTGGGAGCAAATTGGAGAGAAGGGGCCGGGGGTATAGGGATAGACAGAGAGAGGTTATTACTCAAACAAAATTAATATCAATGCATCGGAAAACAAAACAAAACAAAACAAAACACGATAATGGGGCTCGCTGTGGACCCTATAGCCTTGTCAAAGCCTATCCGTCTGTCATTTACATGAACAATCCCATTTACATGAACAATCCCATCTCCAAGTACTAAATCATTGGCCTAAAGTAAATTGAATTATATAATCGCAATTTCGGGCACCACTGCAATCGAAACTTTTCTGATGGGTACTTAACCACCCTCCCCCCCCCCCCCCACAAATAACGCACACCCTCCGCCCTTTCGGCGGAGCATTGAAGTAACCTACGAGGACTTGATGGAGTCCTGTGAGCCAATACTTGCCAGGACAAAATTAGAATAGATATAAATACTGATAATAGTAGAAATAAATAATTATAACAATAATAATAATTTTGAAAATAAGTAAGCCTTGAGAGGGCCGGCGAAACTTTAATGTTGCTTTAAAAATAATATTTCCCCTAGCTTTACACGATTCCGTCTCTGCTATGTCAGTTTATAGGAATTAAACAACTCAAATCATATTGCAATAATGGAAACCCAGTTCGATAGTCGTAACCGTGAGGTCAAGTATAAGGAGGGGATAACCTTTTGTTCGCGTAATATGGGCTATGTTGTTGTCACTGTTGTTATTCTAATTCATTTGATGGGACATCGAGAATGTCCCCCCCCCCCCCCCCCCCTTCCCACCCGCTCCTACGCCACGAAACATAATAAATAATTACATAAAAAAATGAAAAATCAAGACTAGCGTGCGCCAAAGACATGAAAATTAGCAATTAGATCAGAAGAACGGTGATGGGGGGGGGGGGGGGTGGGGGGGGGAGGGGGGGGGGGGGGACTTCAAAATATCCCAACGCGCTCTGAATCCATGCCCATATAAGGTGATCCTCAGACCCGCATTTCGTGAAATCTGAGAACAATGGACGTAACAACGAATTTGTGCAACGGTTTTAACATTCTGAAAGACATTCTGAATACTACATGAACACGAGGGGAAGAGAGCGAATTTATCCAGCTTTGTGCCTTTGTATATCATTTAATTTCAACCATGTCCGTCTCTGCTCAAAATAACTTTATCCGCTTCCGCATAATATCACACATGGGCGAGCCTGGATGCAGTCATCCCTAACTGACAATGTACCAGGAGTACCAAAATACTGAAAAAGAAACAAAACCAAAATAACAACAAAAGTCTTACATAATATTAAGACTTCTTGCACCCCGACTTTGCCTCCGCAGCGCGTGATGCATTTCAATACTACCCGCCACCAACTTACTATCTACTCCTGGGTTCAGCGTGGTAATGGTAGAATAATGTCTTTCACCAAATAATGTTTACGTGAAGGGAGAGTGATTTGAACCCTCGCTATACCTCGTGACTTCATGCACTTTAGCTATCCACAACACCTGAACCCAGGCGCGTACGCAGGGGGGGGGGGGGGGGGGGGGGGGGGGGGGGGGGGGGGGGGGGTTTGGGGGGTTAAACCCCCCCCCCCCCTTTGGAAATTTTTTGTGTGTAAACCTTCCTAAAAAAAACCCTAAAACCCCCCCCCCTTTTTTGGTTTTTTTTTTTTTTTTAATTATTAAAAAAAAAAAAAAAAAAAAAATTATTCCCATGGCCGACCTAAAAAAGGTGACCTTACCCCCCCCCCCAACGGAGCAAAATGTCAAATTTCCAAATTTCGAGACCAAAAAAACAAAAAAAAGTGTCCTCTTACCCCCCCCCCCCCCCCCCCCCCCCCCCCCCCCCCCTCTACAAGCCGATCGCCTGTCTGATTATCAAAAACCGTTTTCCTATTATAACACTATAGTCTACTGGGGAAAATGAGTATGGTAAAACAGGTCACTCAAAGATTTTTACTTTTTTGAGGCACTTCATGATCATTTGAAGCGCATTTTTTGAGGGCTTCAATATTACACCATAATCACAGACACTGATAACACGTAGGGCCATGCATCTCAGATTTAACATTTTTAAACGATCGCTTCTCCACTCTATTCCAACGACTGCAAATATACAATGTATTCGCTTATACAAGACGGACAAGAAACGATCAGTCATGGGCTATAAACAGAGAACATTTTGCCCATTAGTTTGAAAATTCTCTAAATCCTCTTAACACGCCTCTGGAGACAAACACAATATTATTATCACCACCGTAATTACTCACACTGAATTATTATTGCTTAAAACAAGTCAGATTAACGATTTTGTTCAAAATTATGGTACCATATAATTTGAATGTTAGTTTTGCCGTTTCCAACTCATCGTTTAATTCGTTATTTTTAGTTTTCTAGATTCTGTGAAATACATTTCTCGGTTTAAGGTAGTTATCGGTTTATGGGCCAAGATCATCATACGTCCGTCTGCTATTCCAGTGGTTTCTTTTTCCTTCTTCTTCTTCACCATCTTCATCATCCTCATCATCATCATCATCATCATCATCATCACTCCCTTCTTTCTCTAACAACACACACCCAGACCAACACACGCATGTTTTATGCCAAAACACACAATTTCCAAACAATATTGCCTGGCAGAGAGAACATTATACTTACCTCATTGCGTTCATCTAACTAATACAGTGCATCCAATTTCGTTGTCAACATTATCAGTGTTCGAAAGCTACTATGTCGTACACTGTGGTGTATAAACACAGTTAATCTCTGTGCAGCCACAGTGGTTATTATGTGGTACACAGGGTATTAAATTTTTTTTCCTACAGTCAACATCAAGGCTCACAATCAACTAGTAAATAAAACCTAAAACACAAATGAATTTTTAAAAAATTATAAAAACGTTCGAAAAAATATTCTGTGGTAACACTGTGGTTCATCATATTACACAGTGACTCACTAATGAACCCCAGTCATGCCACAGGGTCACTCTATGGCAAACGATGTGAATACTCTTTTCAAACAGTTATCATTCTTACTCACAATCAATGCCTATCAATAAATGAAAAGTAGAATTGGAAACAATAGTATTCCAAATGATCTATTCTGTGGTAATGCTGTAGTAATATGCAGTAATTCTCTATGCAATCACAGTGGACCATTCTGTGACATATGGAGTAAATTTTATTCTCGCACAGTCAAACGTGTAAACAACAACCAACATTAGAAAGTTAAGCAAATCTAATACAAAAACGAATAAACCAAAATAACAAATGTTAGAAACATTTTCTGTGGTAATACTGTGGTACATGTCCACAGTCCTTCCATATGCTACATGGTGTAAACAGTATTTCTCTAGTTAACATTCCACCTCCCAATCAAGTCAATGTCACTCTGTTGAAATAATTATGATAGATATATGAACAATGAAATGAATTTGTTCAAAATGTTCTCAAACTTTGGGGCATATCACAGTGATTTATTTGCATGACCTTAGTTTAATACACTCTGCCACATACTGTGAACAGTATTTTCACACAGTCCACATGACGAATTTCCAAATCTATGCTGTGGTAATACTGTGGGTGTGCACAGTGACTGTTTATGTGGCCACAGTACTGTGGCAAATGTTGTGAAGTTTAAGTTCACACTGTCAACATGGTGAAATGTAGAATGTAAACCACACACTGTGAGTCTCAACGTGGCTAACATAGTGTGTTACGCTGTGAGCAGTTCTATTACACAGTCAACACTTTGAAAGTGTTCCAAATTTACATGTTTAACTGTAGAATGCTTCGATTTTCTATGTCCTGTTGGTCACGCTGTGTCGCAAAGTGTGAACTGTATTTTTACAAAGCCCAAGTACAGTATGATTCAAATTTACTGTTCTATCTCTGTATTGTGTATACATTGATTCCTTTTCCCAGCGTGCCACAGTGTAATATAGTGTAAACAGTATTTCTACACAGCCACAATATGATAGTGTGTTCCAACTTTCTACATTGTGGTAAGAACTGTAGTGCATCCATTCTGATTTTCACTGTCCAAGGTGTGTTTCTATCTACACAGTTGAGACCATGGTTAGTGAGCTGCAAATTACTGTGGTCACTGTGAATTGCATACACACTGGATTCTCTATATGGCCTCAAAGTATTTCTCCATAACCAACAGTATCGAATAACCAAACTCTCATCTTTGGTCACAATTTGGTGAAAACGAGTTCTCTCTGGCATGATTATACACAGAACCACACAACACACACACTCACAAACACTTTATGCTCTCATCATACTGCCCATGTGATTTGTAATCAGTTTTCTTTTCTTTTTCTTCAAAGTAAACAATCTTCCAAACTGTTGACATCAATTAATAATAAATACATGTATATTTGATATAGATATGTTGTGATACAATCGGATATACTTTCCCTTTAAATCCATGCCATTATCAAGAATGTATCAA